ATTTTCAGTACAAATCGGCAATTTCATACTTTAACCCCTATTATTTATATTAAGTATTTCATTCATTTTTGCCTTTACCTTGAGTTCTAAGGTTTATAGATATACTTTATCAGGAATTCGTGTTTTGCAGACACAAAATACGTAGTATGGTCACCTAAAATGGGACATTCATTATCCTGCATTGCAGTCCGCCTAGCCGTCTGCCGCGTAATGCAGGATTATGAATGTAGTCGCAGCGTACAAGCCATCCTGCAATCCTGCAATGCGTCCTGACTCTATACGTGAATCATATGCAGGTTAGTGTGTGAGCATGGTGTGAGCAGTCTCCTGCCTGCGCGGCGGACTGCCATGCAGTTAGTGAATGGGCCGTTTAAGGTAGCTACTTACTTTTATTTAATATTATCTACATTTACTTACCAAACGCTGGTGGTTGCGGCGCTTAGGATGTCGGTGGTACATGTCATCGCAGGAGGCGCAAAGCGCGCGCCGGCCGCACTCAGTGCAACGCACACGCGCACCGCCACCGCCGCACAATCCACATGATGCACCCGCGTCTACAGGTTGATCTGTAATATCATTTATTTTAAGTACCTAAGTGTTATCCATCTCTCATAATGTTGCATGTGTTGATCTGTACAACGTATTCGCCCGGTGCGACACGAAAAAAAAACCATGCGCTCTGAACCAATTTATTCGACATAATCTAGATCTCTAGAAGAAGGTCTCAGTTTGACGGTTCCGGTTAAGTCGCAATATAATGACAAATGAGGCACTGTTAGGGATCATCTCACGAAGTACATCTATCGACACACCTTCCTAGGTCCCTTTAAACAGATGAGATCCTTTATGAGATTAGTTCCTTTAAGGAGAGAGAGAGAGAGAGTTTAGGCGCGCTCCGCCAAGCTGTTTGATGCTGGTTCAGAAATTAGCGTGTATTCGAAGAGTAATTAAACTGCTCACGGATCAAAGAACTCAGTGTGCCCAAATTTGAAGGAAGGCAAGAGTGTTCCCTTTCTATCACTGTTGTTGGCTTTGAGAAGATTCGGGGTGATTCTATTGCAAAATGGGCTCCTAAAATATTACGTTTATTCTTCATGGCACCACGTGATAGTGTATGGAATTAAAAGGACATCAAGATTGTACATCATTGGCTACAATTTTTAAGTAATGCATAGATACTTGCAAAATTTTCATTATTTGTCACGTAAATTAATTAGTTTTAGTCTCATATCAGAAATATTTCCTGGTCACATACTATCGAAACACCCTGAAAGGTAACAAAAATCACAAATTTCTGCTTATACATTATTGAAACTAGCTAGTTACAGCTCTGAGCTGTTGCTGACGTGGCGCGCTATTTGCATCTGACCGATATACGAATATCGCGGGTTAACGGCTCGGACGTTCTCTGAACCCATCGCCTCGTAAAAAGCTGCACATTGCTGTTTCTCCACGATTTCAACGTATATTTCTGTTGCTTGCTTGCTTCGGTATATTTGTACCGTTACACGAAGTTTAATCCTCGTCATCGATTTGCTGAAACCTCTACCCCCTGTATTAACCATAGCTATTCTATTAAGTTTAGTCTGTATTTATTTTTCTATTTTGATTTTGTCTGACTTATATTTAGGTACTCTACAATAAGTGGCTAATAATCGCATATATATTAGTGCGATATATAAAAATAGTCTTGGAGTTAGATATGTGTATATGTAGAGTCTGTAGGCAATTAGTCTCGGTCCGTTATTGGTTTTCTATCGGATACATTTCGGAAAGTGTGTTCAGGAATTTTAGCAATTAGTTCCTCCTTCACCATTATTCTTTTGATCTACTAAAAAATCCGGAACACTTTATCTTTATGTCATTGACTTACCTACCATCGATCGATCTATTCGCACGGAGCGCTTAAGGATGACTCCTTCTTGATGTGTACGGCAAAGGAATCGAATACACTGCCAGCTTCTGTGTTTTCCGTAAGCAAACGATTTGGAGCTATTCTATAGACTAGAGCGAATACCTAAGCATTTACTAAAAAAGCGCATAACATTGTCGGACACATCATCACTTAAGATCAGGTGATATAGTGGCCACGCATACGTCTATTTTCATTTAAAAGAAGCTTACTAGTTGCTGGCCGCGGCGGCGGTGGAGGCGGCGGCTGAAGTTTAGCGTTAACATATTGATCCGTTGGGAATTCCACCACTTCGTAGTCTGGTTCTGGCTTAGCCAATGGAGCTCTTGTTGGTTGTGCAGACCTCGTCTGGATGGTTGCTTTCATCGGCGGCCGCGAAGCCAGGTGTGGGGGAAGTTGTCCCGCAGTGCGGGGATCGCGGGTGCGTCCTTTCAACATGCCTGTTAGAAATAGCAAATCGTTAAATGGTTTAGCGCTACAAACAGTAGCCTTTAAAAATGTAATACACGGAAATCCATACAAAAATGTGATGAGATGAATTTCTAATTGTTGAACATTAAAATTCATTCATGTATGAAGTTTTTTAAATAATTGTTGCTAAACATATTTCGCGTGTACATTATTTTCATGAATTCAAGGCATGTTGTAGTATTTTTTATGGCTATAATTTCATTATTGTGGCAATAAAATATGGGAAGTAAACTTAATGCCGCAGTGGCCGCAGACCACATGCAGTGGCAGTAGGCACAACAATTATTCAAGCGGTAAAATGACTAAACTGGTTGACTGAAAAGATAAAAAATCTGTGAGTCTTCGGCAGGCAATAAAAAAATGGAAAATTATTCATAGAAAAAAAGGGTTACCTTTTCGTCAAAATGATTGAAGGATCAGTCGAAAGTGATCACAGAAGTCTGGGAGCTCCGAGTAGACCAAGTGGTTCGAGGTGTCTGAGTGGACCGAGTGGTTTCGATGGTCCGAGTGGTCTGCGTAAAACTTTTTTTACTGAGCAAAACTGTGGGTACTTATGTATAATAAATCTAGAGCAGAGTAATCATCGCCTCTTTGTGACATCATTTCTTTTATTACAGATAATATTTGCATATCGGCTCTGCATATTTTGACGTAATTTTAGCCTACGTGGACAACACACGTTGGTCCGACTTAAGCAACATATTTATAGACGGATACATAATGGATCAACAAAAGGCCCCTGGATTAAAATAATCAACAAAGCGCTCGCGTGAAGTCGCACCCGATCAACATACAATAAACAGAGATATATTAGTCTCGGTGCGACCATGTAAGTTGTGTATAACATTTCCACGTTCCTACAGTTCGTCTCTAAATTGCATCGGATAATGGCATATTAAAGTTATGTGAGGGAAATTATACCTTACTTAACATTGTAAAGTATTTTATTAAAAGTTATTATTGTAATAGAGAAGTTTGTGCTAACGGCAGCTGTGACCGGGATAGAGCGGGCGTTGCCTCGTCGCGGACACCTCGCCGACCCATTTATTTCGCCACTCATATCCCAAAATATCGAAAGTGTTTTCGCTCTTTGCAAAATTTAGTTATCCAGCGTTTCATATGATATTTTAAATTAGCATATTTTTTTATTTCTGCAAAAGTTGGATGGGGGACGGTTTCTCTACTTAACCAAAGAAACAAAAAAGACGAACGTCTTAGTCATGTTCAATATGCGCAGAGCTTCACGTTTAAAAAGTAAGTATTTTATTACCTGTACGAAATATTTTTAAATTTGTAGATGTGTCGTTGTACAAGTTAGCACTTTTAGAACATAGCACTGTGTGTCACAACACATAGTTGAAGGTAAGTATGTAAGACATTATGCAATCGCTCACTGCGGGGCCTTGGACATTGTTTTAACACTAACTGCACTTGCGTGGTGTGGAACGCGAGGTACACAGAACGTGCTCTGTGAAGAGACTGGTCGGTTCGGTAGCCGCTAATCGTGCACCCTATCCGGACGAAATTGACAGCGGGAAGACGCGTGTGCCGCCACCGTCTCTATTTCTGTCCGCGGCCGCGTTGCCCCGATTCTACTAAAATTACGACGCTCTGCTATTTCCGCACTCCACTAGCGGCGAGTATGTAAACCACTATATGTATGCAAAATTTTAAAGAAAGTATTCAATAAAATTATGGAGTAGAATTTGAAATTATATTTAATTTTATATTTTTGAAATATGGGTACTATTGGAAGATACTAATCGCATTTAATACAAAAATAGATCAAAAATTTCCAGCAACAATTGTTATAGATAAGTTTCCATTTGATTTGGTTTATAACCATATAAAAAATAACCAAACTGTTTTTGGAGTAAGTACTTTTGTTTACAATCTCCTTTAAGTTTCCTTCAAAAATATTCCACACTTATCGGATTGGAACTCAACATTTGAATAACGCTTGAACAATTGAAACTTAGCAACAAGGAGTTTGGAAACATTTGTAAACAAATGTTCTGTTTTTTGCATTTGTGATTATAATTATTTTATGGTATGGAAGTGTTGCGACAGTTTAAAGAATGTGGTTACTTCACATCTCAATTGTACCATTTGATGACCAAGAAGAAGTTGGTTGATCCTTCAGAGGAGGTAAATTTTTACGCAATATTTAAAGTTCTTGGGATTTAGCGATAGCTACATGTAAAAACGTAAATATTCTATGTAAATTCTTGTGAAAATACAAAACACTAGTCATCAATATTAACTTGGTACCTATAGATATTTTTTCTTACTCGTAAAAAGTGAAACACGTAATATTATGTAACTTTTGCATCGGAGATTACCCTAGTGGTTTTTGTTAGGCAAGTGACATTGATTTATGTTTAACTTTTCCTTTTTCTACCTTCAGATTATTCCATCGGAATATCTTAAAGAAATGCGGTTAAGTACGGTCGAACGCTTACAGAAGTTGAACAATATAGAAATAGATAATATAGTCAATACTGGCACCAAGAAAACTGGTATTCCTGTTTTGTCATTTACACCAAGAATAATCGTGTTTCAAAACTTTAAGCCAAATGAAAAAGTAGTGGCTAAGTTTACCGTGAAGAACATAAGTAAGGTTTGTATATACATGGTTTATAGTTTCACGCTTTACAAGTTCGAGTAGGGAACTGAGTGTAATACTGTTAAATGAATTTTGCTTTTAGGCGACTACATTCCTCAACATGGTGTATAAGGAATCGTCAAATTTCTTCATAAAGCCGTGTGGCTCTCAATTGCTCTCAAGATTGGCGCCCGGTATTAGTGTTACTTTTGCCGTTACTTTCGAGTCCAGCTTGTATGAAGATTACGTTCACAAAGTTATGTTTCATAGTGATACTGATCACTATGTGCTGCCGTTAATTGGTGAGACTCGGTTAATTGAATAAAAAACGTGTTATTTCAAAATATGTACCAAGATAATAGTATTAAAATTGTAAATATTTTGTTAAAATATGGCTACAATAATTGTCCTGATTATGTAAAAAATAAAGTAATAGTTCGTGGTTACAGCAATGGGACCCAGACCAATGTTTGACTTCCCGGATCAAGTAATATTACCTAAAACTCCGTTAAAAATAGAGACTTTCATGATGATCACCGTTCACAACGTCGGCGTACTAAACGCAGGTTTCACAATTAAAACAAGATGGTAACGCGCATATTTCTTTATATTTTATGCAGTTGACAGCAACGTACTGTTTGTGCGTCACACTTGGCTATTTAGGAAAGACATCTTTCATAATGACTTCCTTATGAAATGGACCATATTATAGACCCTAATTACCTTGACGACAGTTGTCTTAATACTAATTTGGTACCAAACAATACATGGCGTGTACCGTAGTGAGTAATACATAAATGTAGTTTTGAGGCGCCTTTGACTGTAATATAGAAATAACGATACTTTTTCTCAGTTTTTATAGGTTTTTTTAGTCATGTTTTCTTTTTTTAGTCCATTTAACGTGCATCCAAAATCTCACTACGTGCTAGCTGGAACGAAAGTAGAATTTAAAGTAGGATTTAGAAGTATGCATTTGGGTAATGCAGAAGGTGAATTGCGAGCAGTTTTCGAAACAGGTTGGTGTAATCTATGTTTAATGTGTTCTAATGAATTCTATTCTGTGAGTACCTATATTGATACTCACACTTACTAAAAAAGAGCAATCGACAGCCCTATACCTACATCATCTAATATCGCGACCAAACCATTTCGTAGGTGTTGCACTATGATAACTAATGCAAAATGGATGCAAAGCCTTGTTCAATGAGTCTACCTTGTTTAAAGACGATCAAAATCGGTGTAGAAAGCTCTCGCCTGAATGACGATTCACTGAGCTCTCTACGCTCCAATGACGAATCACGGTGGCTGCGGGTCCTCAGCCTGAAACTTTTCAGATCGATTATTTCAATAGAACAAGTTTCTTCTTCTTTCTTCTTTCTACACACATATTATTATAACAACGTTTGAATCCTAGCCGATACAGATTGACTTTACCAACCATTTAAGGATCTGATTGTGCAAAAATAAGAAAACGGACATTTGCGGCCTGGAAACATACAATATTATCGTGATATCAGGTGACATATAATAGAGGGGAACAGGAAGACTTGAAACTTTTTCTTTCTTTAGTGTAATTTTCTTATCCGGTCACACGTATATATTACACTCATTTCGCTACCGCACGTAATAACTTTTTATAATTTCGGCCAATTTAGAGTAGGTAGAATAGTTGAGCTAGGCTTTGTATCATTTTTCTCAGCATCATCTGTGGGTTTGATCGCGGTATCCAATGACGTAGGTCGTGGTACGGTTGGGTCACAATTTTAAGATTTATTTTTTATTTTAGAATTTGTGCTTTCCAAATTCTTCTGTGCTAACACTTATGGTTTTTCGTTTGAAATTAATATTTTAGGAGAAGTATTTCGAATAAGGGTACTGGGAGAGGCACATAGCGTGAGCATAGAGCTGGAGAAGCAAACCGTGAGGTTCCTGGACACCTATAATACAATGGTCAGGCAACAAACCTTTAAGATTACTAACAAATCCGACCATTTGCTCACTTACATGTGCATGAAAAATGAAGACGTCTATGATGGTACGATACGAAAGGATTTTTAAATGCAATTACGCACATTTCGTACGTACATCATCATCCTCTGTTTAGTAGCAGTAGAGTACTTTGTGGAATAGTTCGCCCAGGGAAGCTCTATTTCTGACTAATGTGAGCATGACTGCGTTATATTTTGAAGGGTTAAGGGTGCTGGTGAAATTACAGGCCCATGAGACTTGTCAACAAATTGTCTCGGGGTGACGGGAGCAGTGGCAGTGCCCCTGAGATCGTTGTGATTTAAAGCTTTGACTGGCACTGCAACTGCTATGGACTGGCGTGTCGCTTTCCACGCAGCGCACGATTTGTTCGTCCCGTCCCTTGGTATAATAAAAATACCCTTCCCCTGCCTGTCCGACTTAATGCACTGCTGAGTATAAAATGGTATAAGCGTCCCGTAGTTTGTTATATTCGCCACAATTTTGTGCTAGTCTCGCTCATCTACGGACCGCGACTTTGATGTTATCATAATAATATCCAATGTTTCTGTAACCAATTTTTGGTCACCATTCGGTTGTCGCTTTACTCGGTCATCAACTCGCTTTTCGTACATAACCGTTTCTAATTAATTATTTTATGCCCTGTTTTTTGTGATAGATTTTGAAGATAAACTGAAATTTGCAAAAATGTTCTACGATGTGAAACAAAACGAATCTCTAAAGTACGCGAAGCTTGTCCAATATGACGTTTTGTCAAGCGATGAGCATGAGAGAGTATACACAAGGATTTTTACGGACGAGATTCAGGCTATGGTGACTGAAGAATCGATGTTATTCCAAAATATGCACTTTGCGATTTCACCGAATGTTAGTTGCTTATTAGTTTTTCATATTGCTATTATATAATAACTAGTCATATTAACCGCAGTACCTATAACAAAAGACTTCTTTAAAATTTCAGAAAGGACAATTGTGGCCCAAAAAGGTAACGGAAATAACGATTATTTTCTCGCCCAAGGAAATAGGAGAGCGCGAAGCAGTTTGTTATTTAGATATTGATGGGATTTCGAATCGTGTTCCACTGAAAATAGTTGGCACTTCCATTCCACCTCTCATACATCTCAACCTAGAAACTTTGGACATGGACCGTGTATATATTAACAAACTTTATAATTACGAAATTGTAGCAATGAATAAAGGTTAGTTTAAAAAATTATTTTTATAATATATTTAAATGAAATATTAATTATGATTTCCCTTCATAATTTCAATTGAAGTAATGGTCTGTGTGCGATTCTGTTCAAATTAAGAGCACCTCTACGTGTCGCTACAGCGCCGTGATTCTGAAACCACAGGGTTTTTAATGCAGAAAAGCGCTACTGCCTGACACGGGTCGCATTCGCCTTGCAATTATAGTCGTGTTCCCAACTCAAACGTAAAGTCAGTTTCAAATCGTTATGCTACCGATGTAAACAAATTTTTCCGTTGACAAATTACTATTTATTTAGTTTTAATTTATTTTTTACCGTTGAGCTTTGTGATTTATTAATTGAATGAACACACATTTACTTTACTTACATATTATTAATTTAATTACAAAATCAAATATTACTTTAAAATCGTCTGTAATATTTTGTAATATTGTTTATTTTGTTACTGTACATGGTGGAGTACAGTCATACACATGAGATACCTGACCCTCTAACATGCCCAAACTGACCTTTTGGTTCTGAGAGCCATCTTACGTATTGAACAAAGAAAAAATTAAAGTAATTTCAATTTTATTGCATAAGCAATACAGTGGAGTGTTGCTTGAAGATAATCAACATATTTTTTAAACCAATACTAAATTTCGTCATTTAACATCCGAGTAAATTGGTCGAGCGGCTTGTTGTATGGACCGCCAGTTACAATACCCGTGGTTCGATTCCTCGAGTACTATTTTGTTTCAGCGATATTTTTAAAATCATTGTTTAACTTTTTAATGATAACGTTGACAAATCACAATATTTGCTCACTAGAAATTGCCTAAGGAGGGTGGGTAGATATTATTAATAAAGCGTAGGGTGAGTATGGATCATAGTATGGACAGATTAACAAATGACGAAATCGCTCTGCAGTTGCATACGATCGTGTCTTCTGTGATTACGCATTGCTCCACGTTTCGTTTCCATTTATCTCTTCAGTTTTAATTACTTTCAAAGTTTTCTTTCTTGTTTTAATAAGCCGCATTTAACAGAATTATCAAAATTAGAAATTATTGTTCTGTATGAACATGACTTACACCTTCAGAGGTTAGAAACAAAAAATATATTGTATAGCCATAGCTAAATAATATTTTAGTTTGTTGTGTTATATTAATGTGACTCGAACCATGCTTACCCTACTTGCAAAGCCATCCTTATATACCGCTTGGCCACGACGGCCTTACTAAAGCTGGTTGAAATTTGTATTCTGTCTTTAAGTAAGAACTATACCTCAAAGCTCAAATTGGCTTGCAAACTTTCTTACAATGTCATTCACAAATGAGTCGAACAGGGAGTCATACCAAAATAAATTTTACGGCTCACAGTTTAATGATTAAGTTTGTTCAACAATTTTCTCCACATTTTTATGCTCAGCACCAAAAGGTCGGCAAAGTCGCCTTGGAGGGTCAGGTATCTTGTGTATATGACTGTACGTAACTGCAAACATTTAAACTTGTTGTTTTATCAGATAATAAATTATCAAATTGTTTATTATTGTAACAATCCAAAGTATCAAAGCTCTTGATTCTATAGACGAGTGCACTGGTAAAATATAAGTATCTGGGCATTTCTCGTAGAAGGGCTAAGTTCTCTGACTTCGGTGGCCGGTTTTTTTCTTATTTTCAGGAAAAACATTAAGCGTAAAGGAAAAAGAAGATATAATATATAATAATAAGATATAATATTCCGTTAATCGGACAACTAGATTCTTAACAGTTAGTGACAAGTTTGATCCACCGAATTCAGCTACCACCGAAATCTGGATAATTTAACAAAAGGCTTAATTTTTGTATAAAGTATTATGAAAAAAGCAATAAAAACATTTAATAATTTCTATAAACATTTACTATTTTGACTCACTGTTAAGTCAAACTTTAAAAACTAAAATTTGTTTATAAATCGACCAGAACAGCTCAAACAAATTTCACCTAATGACTATTAATTAAAATCGATTTTCGTTTGGCTGTTCAGCCTTTTTTCAATCACACGAAATATTTCCGTAACTCTTTTTTTTTAAATAGAACGTAATCTGTAGCTACAAAAGCAATCAGTTTTTTGAAACTTGCGCGATTAATATCTTTCATTACTTTTGATATCCAATTTTTATTTTCTGCTTTGATTTTCCTTGGTCATTTTCAGCAGGAAACAAGTAGTAATAAAAAACTGTAAAATAAAAATATTAACTCAACATTTATGTGAAAAAACCATTGACTTACAAATAAATGGACGACGGGTCTAATACAAAAACCACGAAAAAAATGTCCCAAGTCAACCTATTTAAATGTAGTGACATGTAAAGGAATATGAAAAAGCTAAAACGTTGAATTTAAATTGTAATGTCATTGCCGTACTGCCTAATTTTGCTTGCAACAATTGAAAGGCGCATAAAACACCATATTCAGCTTCTACTGGAAACTTACCAAAATGCACCATATGTAGCTTCTAATGAAAACTACTTGAACACAGGTATAATGGAGTAGCCTTTATTATTTATAAATAAATTTTATACGTAAATGTTGAATTTTATACAATGCCATTAATTACGAGCTAGGGTGTCTGACTTTTTTTCTTGAGTTTCAAGAATTCTCGTACCCGATTTCTCGAGTTATTCGAGAATTTTTGTAAAAACCGTAAAAAATCAGCTCAATCAACTATAAAACTAAATGTGAACTTTTCGAAATTGTTTTGGCCTGGGTGTTCTGAGTTATGCCCCGAAATAAATTCCATCGTTCTTGGTCCCAAGTTCGATTCCCAGTGGAACCAATTCGGGAAATGAACTTTTGTAAATTGGTTCTTCTCTGGGATTCTGTTGCTCTGATACTCATGGGGAGTATGTACAGAGAGTTCCCTAGTTTCAGACCAGATGATTGTCTTAATAATAATAATAATAACGCACACATTCAACATAGCCCCGCACTAGGGAAACCCTGTGTCGCGGGTGCCATGGACACACACATAGACAACCACAAATTACACCCAAACTCACGAGAGAAATAAATATAGGCCATACAAATATTTCTCCCGGCCCGGGAATCGAACCCGGGGACCTCTGCGTGGCAGTCCGGTATGGTAACCGTTCGGCCACGGATGCAGTCTTACAATAGAATACCAAGACCAGAACCATTTAGAAAAGTTAATTTGTTAAATTGATACTACCGGTATCGAACCCGGGAACTTCTCATCCAGTGCCCACAGTGCAAACCGTTAGGCTATCAAGGTTGTACTATTTGTATTATTATGCAGTGTTTTTGTTCACTCATCGATGTAATCACATACCAAAGCTTTAATATTATGGTCTTTTATCAAGCTTGTATCAGCTCTGGTTTCCTTTCTTTTCTTACCATTTTCTTAACCCGTTCGTGCGTAGTACTGAAATTATACTGCGTTTAAAAACGTCACCACTTTTCTATATGCCGCAGTGCTTACATTGATTCAACATAATTATTACGGTTTATCACTGACGACGGTTGATTCCGTCAACAGGCATAGTCGTACTGCTCATAGTTTTTGCAAATGTTTTTTGTGCATGAAAAGTACGGCTATGACGGTAGTAATTTGTGAGATAATTACAAAATTAAAATGCGCGATATTGGTTGCGCAAGAGAAACGCTTTCCAAAATAAACACTTAGGTACTAATTAATAATAATAATTATAATAACGCACACACTCAACATTGCCCCGCATTAGGGAAACCCTGTGTCGCGGGTGCCATCGACACACATATTACATAAATTACTACCAAACTCACGAGAGAAATAAATGTAGGCCATACACATATTTCTCCCGAAAAACCTAAAAAAATACTTTCGGGATTATGGAAATTCATGGAAACGTTATTTCGGGCAAATGTATTTTCGGTCTTCTTATTCGTAACCCCGAGCCGTAAAAAGAGTACAACAATATTTGAAAGTATTACTAACATGTATTAAAAAATATTATAACAATAACATTAGCATCAAAGCGACTCTAATGAAATTTTTGTTCTAAATATTTCAAACGCTTGTGTTTCAAACAATTGAAATTGACGTGATGGGTCTCGTTCAGTCTTTTACGCAAGCAATGAGTCGGAAAGAGATAGTTAGCTATTTGATTATTTTGATTGCTTTTGTAATTTACGATTTACAATTAATTTAAATATAAATTAAATACTATATATATACTAGTGCATAAAATAACACTTTAAATGATAACTATGATGACACAATGTAGTACTTACTGAAAATATGATATACCACCCTGTTTTTTCACTTAAGCTGAGTAATTTTTACAAGGTTTTACTACACAATACGGCATCATTGACAAGCGCGCTGTCAGTCGAACAAACGAAGACTAAGCGTGATTGACGCTCTGTATACGATTTTAAGTAAGTTCGGACACTTTTTAGCGCGGACCCGACGTCCATTTATTTGTAAGTCAGTGGAAATAACGTATAAAATGCTTACTTTTCAAAGAAAATATGTCTTCGATGGCAGTTTATTCCGACGTCGGTGGAAGTTTTTCTGAATTCGGTGGCATAAAATTTACCGAATCCAAGGCCACGGGATTCAGAATATATTATATATATATTTTATTGATATCACTCATAAACGACAATACTTTTAAAATTGTTATTATATTTTAGACGTTACAATACATATTATAAAAAATATTACATACAACCATAAAATTTAGTTTTTGAAACATCATGTACCTCAAATTTAAAAATGAACCTGGACCAAATCCACCGAGTTACGTATTTACGCGCAAAAAACTCCTAAAATCGGCAACAAATCATGCTTCTCTCTAGCCGCAGAGGCGCGATGGACGAATAATACGAACGAATTGCGAAACTTGTAAAATGCTTCATTTTTCATGTGTAGCGTGATTAGTAACTCCCACCGAATTCTCGCGTAAGCGTGGAGCACGCTGCCATCTTAGTATTGTGAAAAAACTATTGTCTAGTTTATTCAGATTATAAGTAGGTATTGCATCTAGTTTATTACACGTTAACTAAAGTTTAATATTGATATACGGTTTCAAGTTTGAGAAAAATGAGACTTTGTGTTGGATTCTGCATTCGGGACACGCCACTGATGTTAGGTTTTAGGCATTTCGGACTTTTTTTCCATTAGGTTCGCAAGGTTTATTGGGAAGATTTTTGCTCTCCACTTAGCTTTCGACTCTTTTGTTGTAGATTTTTGTTTTGATAAATAAGTGAAGGTTAGTGCATGGACACAGAAAATTGCGGCATTGGAGAAGTGCCCTTCTATTACATTCAATGGAAGTAATATTTTGAGTAGAGAAAAAATCTGTTCTGTTTTTAAAGTTAATACCTAATCGAAAAAAAAAATATTTGCCAGGTCACATCAGCGGTTTGATAGTATACAATGAAACACCTACATTATTTGGTAGTGCGATTTCTTGCACACCCCTGATGCACTGCTTGGCTCCCGGTGAAAAAGCTATCTTCATTATATCCTTCAGCAATCCCAACCAGGGCTGTTTCTTCGAGGAAATCAATTTCGTCATAAGAGACACCAGTGTCGTTATTAGGTTGTACTTGAAGTAAGTATTTTAGAACAGGGTTGTTGTGAATATCAACATCTGCATCCGCATACGCGAATAATCTGCATGAATTAAAAAATCCGCATCGGCATTCAACTGGAATAATTTACAAACGTTCTAGAAACAGCCTCAGCTCTTGTTTTTTAAATATAACTGATAGAATTCTAGAATGATTAAGCTAAGCAGATTGATTGTTTTCATGGAGATTGATTGTTGTGTTAAGAAATGTCACAAAATCATTGAAATAATACTAAAGAAAACAAATCATTTTTCAACTAGATAAATTAATTGAGGATTTGAAACTATTTTTCCGGATTTCAATCGCGTATATTGGTTTTTTCAAACAAACCAACGTTTCGGGCCCTTTACAGGCCTGTGTAGATGTAGACGATGGTACCTGGGAAGAACCCGAAACGTTGGTTTGTTTAAAAAAACAAATATACATACGCTTTTTAAATCCGGGAAAATAGTTTCATTTCCTATGTGTAATAATCGCGAAAACCTCAGAACTCGATAATTGAGGATTATTTTATTTTCGCGTTTATTTATAACACTTTCGCGTTTTTTAAATACATAAAATCAGCATCTGAATCAGCTTCCGCTTATCTTAAGGTTAAAAAAAGCAACATCCGCATGAGGATCCGCTGATGTGTAAAAAACCTGCATCAGCAACAATCCTGCTTTAGAAGCGTTATGAAAACATTACCATACCTACATTATGTATGTGCAATTTGCATTTTTTGTACAGACCTAAGTAAATGTTGTAATGTAACGTAAGTTCGTAAAAAGATAATGCAATTTTGGCACTATGAGTGAGATTTCTTCTTCTCACTACTAGTTTGAGCGGTGACTGTGATTGGCGTCCTGTATAGTATATTATACTAAGGCTGATAAGTGTAATCGGATCAACGTGTATCTGAATATATAGTTACAGATGCGTCTTTTGCAGGGGAGAAATAGTTTATCCAACTATGCACTTTAGCAAGCCTTGTCTTGATTTTGGAACGTTAAGTGTGGGTAAGTCTCTATGAGACGAACTTTCTTTTATGGATACTTATGGTTCATTAGGATTTAATTCATTCGAATCACCATTGCTGACCACATTTTCATTAAACACTACTTTTTATTTGAATTAGGGGCATGATTACATGTTCTTGGTAGAGCTTTTTATACTTGTAAGAAGGTTGGCTTTGTTGTTAATTTGTCTACATTTACCTAGATTTCGAAAAAAAAAAATATATTTAATTCTTAGGAATACCTGTTACGTTAGAATTGGAAGTGATAAATGAGTCGGAAGTCAGAGTTAGAGGTTCGATAAAGATATCATCCGACGGTCCTGAAGTGAACAGCCTTACTTTAGACGACTGCGAGTCTTCGGGGTTGAATTATATAGTTGCACCGCAGTGGCCAAGAGAATTCCACATCGAACCATCAAAAATTGACTTAGATCCTGAATCGAAGGTGATCTTAAAGGTGATTGGACATATCTAATACAATTATTTTGTAGTGACCCCTTTTATCGGTACCTACATTCAGCCTAAACTAACGCAAAGTTAATTTAAATAGGTGAATTAAGGACTATTCACATTAGACCGTGCCAGGCGCGAGCCGAGCCATGTAGGAGACTCGGATTGGAAATGCTGCGTACATTTTATATGAAGTGATTCACATTACAAAGTGCCGCGTCCGTGAGACGGACGAGAGACGCCCGAGCTGCTCCCGAGCTCGTTCGAGCCTCGGATACGGCCCGGCCCGCCACGCCTCATTTTAATATGAACACTCTCCAGTGCGTAATACGTGCCCCGTCCGAGTTTGCAACTGTGAATGAAAGAAAGAAAGTGACTACGTTCTATTTTAAAAAATGGGTGATGGAAAATTGAGTGCGTAAGAAATTACCCAGTGCTTTATAATATGATATAACACTACGTTCGTATTCGAGCATAAACCGCGTCCTACTGACTGACTCAGGCTAATTTCAGAACGTGCGGTACATACAGGGTCAAGAGCACGTCCAGCTTGACACTTAAGATTTCAATCCAACTCTATGCTGCTTACGATAAGAACGGTCCAAACTACAAATTGTCAAGCTTGACGTACTCTTGATTGTGCGAGGCTCGGGTGCCTCGGACACGGCTTGCGCCCAGCACGGTTTAATGTGAATATGAATATGCAGCACGTCTGAGGCTCGGTTGACTCGGACACTGCTCGCGCCCAGCACGGTCTAATGTGAATCATCCTTTAAACGTGTGATCTTTCAAATAGTGTTCTTATGTCTGTAGGTAACACTGACGGCGAATTTGGTTAGAGCAAACCAGACTTGTTTGGAAGTGGAAATGGAAAAGTCTGACAGTCCACCGATCACTCTGCCGGTGTCGTTCAATGCTGTAGTCCCTGAGATCACTCCTGCGCCTGATGTGAATCTGAGGGCACTGTTCGTCGATTACCCCTACAAACACGATATCATTATATCTTCAAATGAGTTTTGGGGATATTTCTCTATTAAAGAGGCGAAGGTGTGAGCTATTTCCTATCTAATCTGTCTAATGATTGTTTAGAAAGTGCAGGTTTATATTTTATAATTATATAAAATAAAAAACAGACCTCAAGACTTTATGGAATCATATCTATTTGCCAAGTTTTATTAAAATCGGTTAACGAAAAGTGGATGAAATCTAATAAGCGGGATTCATCCTCTAATTTGCCACCCTTACAGTGTAATATTTTCATAAAATTTGAATTGAACCATTACTGAGGTGCCTCCTTTCCAACAAATGAATGAAACACGAAACATACCTACACAAAAAAATACAGCCGAATTGAGAATTTTTTTTAAAAGTACAAGCACTTATTCATCAGTAGGCTGTTTTATACTAGTAATAAGGTCGTTCATGTGCGATAATGGGCCAGCAGCATGCTAATTATTTTTAATGAGCGTAGCAAACAGCAAACAATTGTGTTCAAAGAAATTGCTCTAAGACTACACCACATACAGGGCGTCTCACGTCTATGCCACACGGAGGGAAAGCACTTTAAATACCGTAAGATAGAAAATTTTACTGAAAGAAGTCTTCGTTTTGATTTTGAAAACTATTCGAACTCCATTCAAAGATTTTTAAATGATCGCCTATCTGAACCGGGAATCGAAACCGCCAAATGTAAAAAAAGCACCTATAATTTTACTATATTGATCGAAAGCCTCAATCATGAGGATTATTTTCTTCCAAATAAGATATCATCTTAAATAAAAGGAAGACCATGAAATTTAACATTTAATTTGAAATTTGTTCAGGAAAATGATCCTGTAAAAGATTTAGTTTACAGGAACCGATAAGAGAGTGTGCAGAAGTTACAAACTGAACTTAGACCTATTATTTTGAACATTCACCGTGAAACGATAAACTGACAGGAAGCGTAATTATCGAAAGAGTGAGAATTTATATACTACGGAATGGGACTTGAGCATTTGATAACTTAAATTGATTATAAATAGCAGTTAAATGTAGGTACCTAATTATTTTAATTAAATCTTAAATTTCATTTTATTTAAGATGCTATGTTATTTAGAAGAAAACAATCCTTATGATTGAGGCTTTTGTTCAGTATAGTAAAATTACAGGTGTTTTTTTTTTCACATTTGGCGAGTTCCATTCTCGGTTCAGACAGGGGATTATTTAAAAATCTTTGAATACAGTTCGAATTATTTGTAAAATCAAAAAGACGTGAGACGCTCTGTATATAATACGTAGCGAAATTCGTAAATATGTGTATAATTTTGGTAGACTCCTACCAAAATTATACATATATTTACGAAAAAACAGCTCCTTGTGAAAGAGTTCGTCCAGGAAATTATTACCTGCCAGGACACTTTTTTCCTACTGCAGAGCAGTAATGTGAGCTTTGGTGCGTTCCGATTTTGAAGGGTGATGGTGTTGGTGAAACTGCAGGCACGTTGGACTTGTCAACTTCACGTCGCAAGGTGACGAGTGCAGTGGCAAAAGCTCTGAATGGCACTGCAACTGTTATGAGTAGGCGTGTTGCTTACCATCAGGCGCACGACTTGTTCTTTTCGTCACTAAACTTGATATAGCATAATAAAAACATGATTTTCGTAAGAAATATCCATTTCAGTCATTAAATATTTTCTTAATACAACAGTTCATAGTGGTGCGCATAATGGATAAAGCCGTGGTAGGTTAGACCTATCCCGTCTCAAACAGAGGTCGTGGGTTTGAATCCGGTCTCGTACCTCTAAATTTTCTGGGATTTTAGGTGTGAAATTTAATTTGAAATGTATTGAAGGAAAATATCGTGATGAAACCTGCACGTCGAAGAAGGTTCACAACCATTTCACAACCTTCGGAAAGTGATGTCCTCAATCAGCATTGAGCCTGCGTGGTGAATTATAGCCCAAAGCCTCGCCTGAGAGAAGACCCGTACCCAGCAGTGGGACGTATAATGAGTTGATGATGACAACAGTTCATGTGAATTATAACCAATTAATGGGCTAAATATTGTCAAATTTCAAACAGCGTTGCAATTAATTACCATTAAGTCGATGTTTTGTAGAAAGGACGAAATGCGATTTCGAAAAATTTTTCGAACGCTCCTGTTTAAGTTTTCACGACCGTTTTCAAATGTTTACGTCCTGTATTAAATTCAATTTTAAAACTTAAACTTAATTAAAACACGTGACTATAAATACTTATATGCCATGAGGTTTTTTATTTATTTATATATATATAAATTCCAGGACGCCCCTATGGAAGTGGAAGTTGAAGTAAAACATGGTATAATCAAACCCAACAGCTCAATAGTACTGCCGGCTACTATAAGATCTAGTGTGTTGGGTCCGCAGGAGCATTCGGTTCGGTAAAGATTTTTGTTTATGAAGAACATTGTTACGTTATTTATTATTGTTTGCATGTACAGTGTAATGTTGTCATTCCATTGCCGGTAATTAACTACTCGAAGTGGATCTGTACCTCTTCCATGCGTTTACACTGGTTTACACTGACTGTTGTCGATAGAGAACAATATCACGGAGTAAATAAATGCAAATATTAAGAAGATTTAACCGGCAAATATTATCATTATACAATTCTAGAATAATTTGACGATTAATTGATAATTAATTGATTTTTTAATTATTGTTTCATGGATTAATTATTAATTGATTTATTTTTAAAATACCTTAAATTTAAATTTAATATCATTTTAAAATTAAATCATTTGACTTTCATTGCTTAGATTTATTTATTTTCATTGTAATATTATAATTAATGGTAATCAAATTGTATATCTTAAAATTGACATTGCTGCGCCCTTACAGTGTACATGTTTGATACTTTACCAACTATTCTATAAGATCTAAATGTAACATTTTTTTTAATAAGTGCGCATTTGACCTCCATCTATCCTGATGGAAAGTGACGGTGAGGTCGACGATGTAGCGTGCACACCTAAATAATGCCTATTCACTCTCGCCTTGAAAAGGTCCAACTTATAGCGTTCGGGGAACAAGTCTGCAAGCAGAGAATTCCACTCCCTAGCCGCTCGCCATACAAATGTGCAAGCGAAACGCTTCCGGGGATTATCCACACCATGGGGGATGGGGGGGACCCTGCACACGTTTAGTCTCCCGATGATGGAAATCAAATTATGCAATTCCATCGCACACTCTCCGTGGTATATCCTGTAGAATACCGATAAGCTAGCAACTCTACAACGGCGTTTAAGGCTCTGCAGCTTCGGCTCTACCAATTCCGAGTCACCTATATGCCTCTTAGCACGCTTGTCTATTGAATCCAAGGTGGCCAGTTGGTATTTAGCAGAGCCATCCCATAAGTGGCAGCTGTACTCTTTTTGGCTGCATTTTTGGCCATGGATTCAATGTGCCGAAGTTCAGATTGGAGGATAGATCCATTCCAAGTAGGTGAAGACGGCTGGCTATCGGTATGGATATATCATGAAGAACCGGAGTCAGGTGAAAGGGACTCCGTTTAGTAGAGAAAAGACACAACTCCGTTTTGGTAGCATCAAATTCAAACGACTAACCATGGACTCTCGACAAGACTGGATTTCTTCTCCACTGACCCTTGCATTGGTCAAGTACTTACTTGTCCACTGTGCTGTCATCAGTACCCAAAGGTACCTGGAATCAACATATCGTTTATATGCAGCAGAAAGTGGGTTACGGACACTACAGAACCCTGAGGAACTCGGAAATCTATCGCCCGATGTTCGGAAGAGTAAAGGTCAGTGGGAAGTCCATAAGAGCCTGCTTAAAAGGCTTGCGTGTCAGACCCTGTCAAAGGCCTTAGAAATGTGTAAAGACCATGCAATGGCTTCGCCATGCCCTTTCCTTTAGCCTCGCTCCATAAGTAAGTTGCGTACACAAGATCCCTAGTAAATCGCCCTCTTCGGAATCCGAACTGGCGATTACTGAGGAGATCGATGTTTCAAGGTACGACAGGAGACGGTTGTTAAGTACACGTTCCATAGTCTTGCAGAGTATTGAAGTGACTGAGATAGGTCTATAGTTAACAGGGTCAGCTCTGCTTTCTTTTTTAGGCACTGGTTGCACATTCGCAAGCTTCCACGACCTGGGAACTACACTAGTCTCAAGCGAGAGGCGATACAGGCGTGCGAAAATAGGAGACAAATCAGGCGCACGGTTACGCAGGACTATTGCTGGAATTCCATCTGGCTCGCAAGCTTTATGCACGTCTAGACTGTGCAGAGTTCTGAGTACCTCTTTTAGGCGTATGCGAACTGGCGCCATAGTGCAGCCAGCCTGAGGTGAAGAAGGTGGTAAATATCCTGCGGCATCCAGATGCGAACTCTTTGCAAAGAGATTCGCCTTCTCTTTCGCAGTATGGGCCAGCGAGCCGTCTGGAACAGCAGAGACGGTAACGAGTAGCTGCTAAAGTTTTTTTCTACCGCTTTGCCCAGGGACCAAACCCAGGGACCAAAAGGACTTGATTTGGAGGAAGATGTAAGCTTGGCTCCTATGCGGCGTGCATGGTCGAACTTGGGCCTGCGTAACACACTTTTGCTCTTCTTGGCGGCTTTATTAAAGGCTTTCTTCAGATTCCAAGTATTTGGAGCTTCGCGTGGTCGAGCATATGCCCAAGCTTGCACTGTAGACTTGAGCGTAGCTCGTGTTGCATAGCGAGAGGTATTTTAATAAAAATAAACTGGGATAATCTTCAAAACTTGGTTTATTGTACTTTTTCACATATTTTCTAACTTAGGTTACATCTCGAACTCTCAAGATGTTCTATTTTTTTTATTTCATTTTTTCAAACACATTCCAAACACAAAACCACTTTCTCTCAGCCAGTAGTTCCACTCACAGAGTAGAGCCCAGACTACAGTACGCAGACTGTTTTTGTGCTTCAGCACGACTACAGTCAGCATTAAACCATGGACGAGCTTGAGGTCCATTGGGTACATCGAAGTATGGTATATAATACTCCATGCCTAATCGCAAGACCTCAACTACAGTATCAGCACAGTTCGACGAAACATGTTTTGCAATAAACGATATTATTTTTAGTATTTTCTCTTACTCACATAAAATTCTGACCACTTAAATCATGTAACCTAACTGCTTGTAAAGTATTATTTTATTATATTTTATTTTTATTTTATTTTATTATATTTGTAGTTTATTCACTTTTCATGTCGGATTTCCAGACCTTGGCATATTCTATCTCCGAACTTTGCTATTCGTTTTTGCAAGGCCAATTACGTATTATTTCATCAATTTCACTTTATAAACATATTTATTTCGTATTTAATATTTTGATATGTTGACATTGATTGACAGATCGGCTATTCCTCTACAATAAATTATCCTATAAATTACTCCTTCCTTTTATATGCAATCTTGGCAGTAGACGCGTTCCGCTCCTGGCAACTCACATTTTGGCTCCTCATTTCAAGTTGAAAATTCGCTATTCGAATTTCAATACTCTTTCTTACTCTACCAATCGTTCCTTATTCCTATACGGACCTTCGAGTCTGCTATCTGCAGGGCTAAAAAGGCCGCATTGGCAGAATCATAATATGATTAATTCATATTGTGAATTTTCAAATAAAACAAAAATGCAATTCATCTATTTGACAGTAACCTGTGGAGACCTCCATAGAACAGTGTCAAATAGATGAATTGCGTTTTTTTTTTCTTTATAATAATAATGCACGCACTCAACATAGCTCCGCACTAGGGAAACCCTGTGTCGCGGGTGCCATGGACACACAATATAGACAACCACAAATTACACCAAAACTCACGCGAAAAACAAATGTAGGCCATACAAATATTTCTCCCGGCCCGGGAATCGCAACTGGGACCTCTGGGTGGCAGTCAGCATGGTAACCGTTCGGCCACGGAGGCAGTTAAATTGAATTGCTTTATATGAATTGTAAGAAATTCATATCAGATGTCAATTAATCATATTATGATTCTGTCAATACGGCCTTTTTAGCCGTGCAGGTCTTCAGATCGAAATATACGAAGCCTATCTTACTTACACCTGGAGTTACTCATGCCGCGCCTACGCGTCTGCCTGAACTAAGTTCCTCGACTACATACCTAAACCTGCTCTTCATTTTTACGCTCTGCCTATTTGAACTGGGCCCTTCGCCCTGCGAATGTGGAGCGTCTAACTACAAGCTCCACCTCATGCTCTCTGAAGCCAGTGCTGCAACCGCCGCTGTTTCTACGACAACCTCACCGCTCACCGTAGCCAGTGTTGCATAACCGCCGCTATTTCTACGACAATCTCACCGCTTTCCGAAGCCAGTGTTGCATAACAGCCGCTGTTTCTACGACAATCTCACCGCTCTCCGAAGCCAGTGCTGCATAACCGCCACTGTTTCTACGACAACCTCACCGCTTTTCGAAGCCGGTGCTGCATAACCGCTGCTGTTTCTACGACAACCTCACCGCTTTCCGAAGCCTGTGTTGCATAACCGCCGCTGTTTCTACGACAATCTCACCGCTTTCCGAAGTCAGTGTTGCATAACCGCCGCTGTTTTTACGACAACCTCACCGTTTTCCGAAGCCAGTGCTGCATAATCGCCGCTGTTTCTACGACAACCTCACCTCTTTCCGAAGCCACTGTTGCATAAGCACCGCTATTTCTACGACAACCTCACCGCTCTCCGAAGCCAGTGCTGCATAACCGTCGCTGTTTCTACGACAACCTCACCGCTTTCCGAAGCCAGTATTACATAACCGGCGCCGTTTCTACGACGACCACATCGCTCTCCGAAACCAGTGCTGCATAATCGCCGCTGTTTCTACGACACCCTCACCGCTTCCCGAAGCCAGTGTTGCATAACCGAAACTGATTCTACGACAACCTCACCGCTTTCGGAAGCCAGTGCTGCATAATCGTCGCCGTTTCTACGACAACCTCACCGCTTTCCGAAGCCAGTGTTACATAACCGCCGCTCTTTCTACGACAGCGTTGAAGCGTATCCGCTCCTGGCAGCTCACGTTTTGGCTCCTCATTTCAAATTGAAAATTCGCTGTTCGAATTTCGATGCTCTTTCTTGTTCTACTAATCGCTCGTCATTCCTATACCGACCTTCGAGTTACCTGGTCTTCAGATCCAAATATACGCAGCCTCATCTTTCTTACGCCTGGAGTTACTTGGAGGTTCTGCGGTCTACCAGTAATGCTGCCCTCCTTGTCATAAACAACGCTTTTGCATTTTGGTAACTTTCGAGATATTATCAACTAAAGTTTTTTTTCTTCGAAAAATGTCACGCTGATTTTACTTAACAATAAGAGCGTTACACACGATGACTTTTAAGAGGCGATGCAAACGCGATGCTGTCTCTAATCGTCTACCTTTACACACACGCGCGATTTTAAGCAAAGATCAAGCGCGCGACTGCATCGATGCAGCCACGCGTTTGCATCGATACAATCGCCAATAAAATGCTAAAAGTTGCCGTGTGTAACCACAGAGTGGCAGCGGTGGCGGGTGCTGGCGCGGGTACGTGTAAATCAAATGTACGTAGACGCTCGTTGCATTCACAGAGGCTGCGCGCGCCGGCGGCGGCGTCTGGTTCGAAGCGGGCGCGCGCGTGGGTGCGCGTGAGTCGCGCGGGTATATCTATTGGCTCGGTCCGCCCTTACCTTTCACAGTGCTTGTTCTAGCGTCTGTTTGCGATTTCGACATGTGGATCTACCTGCTTGTAGCCGCTTCGGCACTGTGAAAGAGAAGACGCCAAGACCCGTGCGCCAGTACCCGCCGCCGCCGCGCTCGCGCCTGCACTCGGAATGAGTCCTAAAACTAAACAATAAAACCCGCTGCACTATGCGCCCCTCGTGCGAACGATGCGTGCGCTCAACACGGTGTCACACGATATCGATTTGTTCAATTGTTCTCTGAACGTATTCGCATAGGCCGCATAAAACTATCATTTGGGGGTACGTATTATATGAGTTTGTTTATTGTTGAGATGTTTGAAACTAGTGAGGTAACTACACTATTGTATTAGGAAATACACCTGTAATGATAATTGTAAGAGGTTAATAATATGTTGTTTTAGTATCGCATTAGTTTAAACATGTAATGATAGTATAAAAGTGTTTTTTTTTTTTTTAGGTTAATAAGATATAAAAAAGTCGCTTATAGGGGGTTGTAGATCTTTGTTTCACTGATTCCACATATGTTAATAACTAAATTTCGCTAAAAATGTCGATTACGTTGTTTATGGAAAGGACGGCTGAAGCTCACATTACTGCGTTCCGGTTTAAATACAAGGATGCTAGTGAAATTACAGTCACATGGGACATGTTTCAGAGTGACGGGTGCAGTGACAGTGACCCTCCGATCTTTGTGATTTCTGTTTGTTGTAAACAATGTATTTGCATTTTGGTAACTTTCGAGGAATTGACACTTAGTTTCTTTTTATTTGAAAAATGTGAATTACGCTGATTTTGCTTAACAATGAAACTAAAATAAAAAATGAAACTAAATAAGATATCTATAAAAAACCGCTTGTAGGGGGTTGTAGATCTCGTTTCACTGAGTTAATAACTCAATTTTGATAAAAATGTCGATTACGTAGACTGAACTGCTGTGGACAGACGTGTCACTTACAGGCGTATGACTTGTTCGTCTCGTCATCGTCACTTGGAATCATAAAAAAAAGTTAAACTAATTTTGTGCTAATTTTTGTATAGTAGAATTTTTGAATAAAGTTAAAGTTTAAGTAAATTTGGTTTTCTCTCAAGCTATATATTATGTTACTATCTTTTTGGGACAAAGACAATAAAGACAATTACAATAATAACAAGTGATTTTTTTTTATTTTACAGGATGTTTATGTTCGGACTGTCACAACCGATAGATATCTGCTATATTAAAGGATGCGCCTGTCGGCCCATAGTAACTTGTACGCCAAATGCTGCGCACTTGGGACAGGTTAAAGCGCTTACGAGGGCTCAAAAAACAATTACTATGAACAATGACTCCCCTATCAGAGTTTATTTCCGAGCGAGTATGGTAATGACGATGACTTTTCCTTACTGCGTCTTAATGTCCATTTTTAGAAAATGCGTTTTCATAAGTATGTGGCAAGTTGTGTGAAAGTTTGTCTATAAGGTTCATTTTTTCAATATGAAATTAAGGTCAACAGTGGCGAATTGGTAAGTAGGATTATAAGTTTTCAAAATTACCTCACGCTCCCCGAAGTCTTCAGATTGCTGAGATTCCTGGAGAAGCTTGGATGGCACGAGTACGACCCTGCACCCACCACACGCAAAATAGGCGCCTGGATGTCGAATTGCCAGCCCGTCGCACTATATCATACCATACTTCACTATATGAAAAAAATCACGTTTTTCCAACTATTTATTCTGTCGCCATTACTTGAAAAGGCGCTTGTGACAAAAACTCAAAACCGAGAAAATGCTTAAAGAAATTAAAATATATAATAATATAATATAATAAATATACATATCTGTTTTTTCTAGACGAAAAAACGTAGACACCTTCTGCAAACGTAGTAAGCTATATTGTATAACCTATATAATACAATGAAAGGGCAGCATGTGGTTACAATGTCTTTTCAATGTCGTAACTAATCTGTTAAGTAATAAAAATCTTGAAAATTTACATTTTCAAGATTTTTATTACTTAAATGAAAGGTAACATTTCCACTTTATTTTAACTTTAAGTGAGTATTGTGTAAACGTCATCTGGGAAATTTCAGTACTGCCTACATACATGTAGAACTTTAACTGCCAAAGATTTCGAAAGTTAAATGTGACTTGCGTCTTTTCATTTACTTAGTAATTGAAATGTGTAATTAAAACGAAGTGACGTATATATGCATTACGCCCTTTTACCAATTTGTTTTGTAAATGCGTCCATTTAACTTAGTTTGACTATAAAAATGTGGGTACTGACGCTCTTTACTCTTACGGTAACTTCACTTTAGGGAAAAAATAATAATACTACGTAACTCATTTTTTGAAAAAGCGTCACATGCGTCCTTTCAACTAACGGCGGCAGTATTGCCCTTGGTGGGTAGAGTACTCACTTTAGTTTAGCCGTATTCTCAAGAAAGAGCACTGTTTTCTTGTAAATTAGAAAAAAAACATTCCATTAAATTCCTCAGAGATTTACATGTCTTCAATTATTGTATTTCTTTTAGTTAAATCGAGATGGCAGGTGGACATTAGACCCGCAGGAAGGTTACCTAGAGCCAGAGGGGGACACAGAACTGACTGTTTCTGTTTACCTAACAGACGCTTGTACATATTCTAATAAAGCAGTAATCCAGTTGGATAAAGTGAAGGACCTTGTGAGTCATTATTTTAAAATTATGTTTCATCTTAAATATACGTACTTAACTCGCAAAAATATCATCTCTTTCTGTTTAACATGGGCATACAAACATGAAGTCGAGTGCATCCCCTTAAACTGGATAGCTTCCTAAGCTGTCTTTTTTTAAGATGTGGTAAAATGACAGTTAATTGCGCAAAAGTGTTGCCCGTTTACAAGCAGCAAGTGATTGCAGTCGATAATATTCTATCGAATATTGGTTGCGCTTTTGTAATAAATAGCGGAACTTGTTTCATAGAATCATTATCGGCACATTATTCGCCAATTGCTCGGCATACGTTCGTTTGAATTGTTATTGTAAGTTCATACATATATACATACACTGCAATAAGAACTACGTCTATTAAAAATACAAAGAGGGAACATATTTTCTAGTTTTCATACAGAATTAAAATTCAGTATAGATAATCTGTTCTTACTAAAATGTATTATGAATAAAAATATGTTTCGATACTAGTAGGCTGACTGTCAAAATAAGAATAAAAAAGGTGATAAAGCAGTTTGTAATACTTGGAACGTCGTAACTTTCACAATTCAGACATTTTTGGTAAAATTTTACCTTCTTTCACGATCTATCCACAGTAACTGTTGACAACAACTACATATCTATTTAAAATTTTATAAAATTGGCAACCCTGCAAATGTAATTTTACTCCATCGTTCAAAAAAGACTATATAGGTAATTTACACATGTTTAGGACACATCGGGGCCTAAGGTACATGTCGTGACCTGATAATTTTTAATTTACCTACTATGATAATTGTGTTTATATGTATATGTTGTACATATCGACTGTAACTGGCAATCGGTACTATCTCAATTTTGACAACTTTACAGGATGAAGAAAAAATCCTTTGCGCCTTTTATATAGCATATGATTTATTAAATAAAAATATGCAGTTTATAAGTATTTTTATTAGATACAAACATACATTACGTATTTTTATTTAATAAACCAGGTGCTATTTAAATGACACAAAACAATTTTTTCTTCATCGTGTAAAGTTGTCAAAATTGAGATAGTATCGGTTGCCAGTGCACAGTCGATATATACTTTCGGATTGTGCCTAGACACATACAATAACATTGTAATATTTGACAATTTTTACGTTTTCAGTATGTGCCGGTAACTGCAACGGGGACGGGCACAAGCATCGTCGTGGGCGAAGAACGCGATCGTATATCGTTGGGCCGACACTTCATTAAGATTCCACTGGATGAAATAATTGTCATCATGAACCTTGGCAATCGTCTACATTCACTGGAGTGGACTGGGAATTATAAAATTAAGAAAAATCAGCCTCCTGTTATGTAAATATAATATGTAGATAGAGCTTAATTTCGCGGTGAAAATTATATGTAGAATTGGAGCAGTTGCTCGTTGATTATTTTTTGTGAAATTACTTTCCGTGGCTTAGGTGGTGGTAGCGTCTGGCACGGTAGCTAGAAGACGTCGGCTCGAATCCGACCGGATCGAAGGAATTTTATCTGAGTGTTCGATTTTTGTATTAATAATTATAACAAACTAGTGGAGTAATTTCACAAAAAATAATTGAATGTCAATTCAATAAAAATATAAAATACAGTGAATAGCGAGATCTCTCGCCAGGGCCGGTAGCTGTAAAGGCATCTAACTGGGTGACGAAATACTTTCATAGATTTCTCATAGATGGCGCTACCTTGAAAACCAAATACAAAGGTCCGACAACAAGCACATGGAAAAACTCGTGAGGTCCGCTGGTTCGTTCCGTGACTCAGTTGGTATAGCGTCTGGTAGGGTATGCTAGAAGACGTCGGTTCGAATCCGGCCGGATCGAAGGATTTTTTTCTGAGTGTTCGATCTTTGTATTAATAATAATACCAATCTTGTCAAATTTAACGCTATCAAAACGCAGGTGTGTCTATTCTGCACAAAACGGAGTCCCTTTCACCTGACTCCGACTTTTCGTGATATATCCATACCGATAGCCGATTGTCTCCAGCTACTTGGAATGGACATGTCGTTCAATTTGAACTTCAGCAGATACATTGAATCCATGTCCAAAAATGCAGCAAGGAAGCTGGGGTCCTTTTCAGGGTGAGGCGTTACTTTACACCGGGACAGTTGCTTCTGCAGTACCAAGCACAAGTCCGATCGTGCATGGAGTACTGCTGCTACCTTTGGGATGGCCCTACTACATATCAACTGGCCGCTTTGGATTCAATTGATAACCGTCTCAAGAGGCTTATAGGTGACTCGGAATTAGTGGAGGCGAAGCTGCAGAACCTTGAACATCGCCGTAAAGTTGCCTGCTTATCGGTATTTTACAAGATATATCACGGAGAGTGTGCGATGGAATAGACATTATTTAGGTGTGCATGCTCTATTGTTGACCTCATCGTCACTTTCCATCGGGTGAGATGGAGGTCATATGCGCACTTATATTTTATTTAAAAAAAACACATTTTTTAAGTTCGTTTTGTTTATACGACTCGGTGAATTAACAATACGATACCGCAAGTTTGTCAACCTGTAATAAACAGATTTATCTGTTATAATTATAAATACAAAGATTTCACCTTACAAAAAATTCCTTCGATCCGGCTGGATTCGAGCCAAGGTCTTCGAGCAAACAGTATCAGACATTTTGCCAATTATGCCACGGAACAAAGCAGCGGATCTTACTAATTCTTTCTATGTTGTTGTTGCAGATCTTTGTTTTGGTTTTTAACGGCTTTCTTGCTGTGAGAAATGTATTTCTTCAGTCAGTTAGATACCTTTACAGTACCAGCTACTAGAGATGTCGTTTTAATAATTGTAATCAAGTTTATTGAATGTCACTATGTTTCACCACCTTTATATTCAATTATTTATTTTTGTGAAAATACCCCACGAGTTTGTTATAATACTATTAATACAAAGATCGAACATGAATGAAAAAATTGCCAAATGGCTTGTCTATTAATTTCAATTATCAATGAAATAGTTTTTTATTATCGTTTCATATAACAACAATTGACTAATTCAGTAGGCACTTTTTTCGATCAACTTGCTATTGAATAACTTCAGAAAAATAATCACGTGTGCAGCGCGACATAACTGTTAGTAAACTGTCACTGAATTTTTCCTTAAATGTTGCCATAGATTATCATGAAAATTGTGAAAGACCTGATGTTATAGTGTCGTAATAATGACTTCAGTACATCCAAGAAGCATATTGATTTTTTTGCGTACCTGATAACGATGTCCAAGAATATGATACTCGTAATATTTCTGAAACAGACTGGTCGAAAAGAATTGTGAAAAAGAAGGAGCGGAATGCGTGTGTGATGGATTTCGAGAACTTCGATATCGAAAGAGTGATCGATAATTTCAAAAGTGCTTTATACATTTCTTTGTTTCCAGACCATTCTTCAATTTAGAGCCTCGAAGTTTTAAATTAGCAGCAGGCGAGAAAATACAAATGAAAATAACAGGACTGTCTTCAAAAGTAACTACTATACAAGAGATTTGGTACCTTGTTGGCAACGTGGAGGGTGTAAACAAAAAAGAACTTCTGTTGGAGTGCCCAGTGGTGGCCGAGTTTGTTGAACCTAGGGTTGAGCTTTCTTCGGTATTGTTGAATTTTCGGTACGATTACGGACCTTACTGTGAATATTATAAACTGACAGGTGCGCATTCTATAATAAATAATTTTGACACAAGTAAGCGCTTTAACTAATTGCTCAAATTGAATTTAAATTAAATTCACAGACATCCTGACAATAAAGAATGTGTCGAAGTTGGGTCTTATGATAGACTTAAACGTCCGAGCGCCTTTCGCAATTGTACAAAAGAAAGAGAGTTACTTGGTACCTAGTGATGAAACAAATTTATGTTGCTGTATTTGTTACGACGAATCGGATTTAAATGTATCAAACATCATTAACGAATCTGGATTGCATCAATCAAAGACATTTATCGATTGCTTAACAAATCAGCCCGTCGAGCCCTTGCGTGACGGTCCACTGCACTTCTTCCACGATATTCACAAAATTAAACAGGCGTTTTACCTAACACATACCGTAGAACAACGCCTAGAAGACCAGGAAGTAATGAAAGTACAAATAATCTTCGACACAACGAAACATTTGAATTTGAAATGTAAAGTATACAACGACGTCATGAGAATTAAATTTAGGGACCATAAGAATAAGGTCGGCCATTATTTTTTAATTATAAATAGTAACTTTCATTGGTGTTGTCTTAACGATTTGTGTTGAAAAACATAATAATATTATTACAGGACGCTGTAAAACTAGTGGGCTCTATTAATTTCCCCAATATGTTAATATTGACGCCTAAAGTAGACTTCGGTTGCATATTGAACGACACAGTTGAAAGTAGAACGATCAGAGTACACAATATTACGCCATTAAATGTTTGCTACAAGTTTCAATGGAAAAAATGCCAAATTAATAAAATCTCAATGGTGAGGAAAATAATATAATCTCTTTGATTTTAGTCTTCGATAATTTTTTTTAACTTGATGTACAAAAACAAAAAATGTATTTTTTATGATTTAAATTAACTACGGCTATTGATTGAAATTCTACGTAAATAACTACGTGTACATGAAACCTAACCTATAGTCAAGTTTGTAATAAATTATGTAGTAAATGTTCTATTTTAATATATCAAACTAGTTGCAACTGAACAGGATTTACAATAGATTAGCATAAATTGCGTTTCATTTGTGGCGATGCATTCCCAACTGAAATGTCTCCGAATGACTTTTTTATGAACGTACAACGCGTAAAAAAACTAGGGTTCGCAATAGAGCGTAACTACACGACAGACTTACAGAGAAAATTTTAATACAGTTTACATATTTAAGATTACACTTATGGTTCAGCGTGTTGCGCCAGTAACTGGCATACAAATATTAATAGCAAATATTATACATTGTTTGCATTTATTCCTAAAGTCATATTACATTATATAATTAAAATCATATCGTATTACATTATATAATTACATTTTTTTAAATTAAATAATATAATTAAAGAAAAATTATGATTTTTTTTAAAGCCCCGCACTAGGGACACCCTGTGTCGCGGGTGCCATGGACACACACACGAAGAACGACAAATTACACCCAAACTCACGAGAGAAATAAATGTATACAATACAAATATTTCTCCCGGTCCGGGAATCGAATCCAGGACTGGTAACCGTTCGGCGTTTTTTAGATTTAATAAAAAAGAGGAACGCATGTTAAAGTAATAAATATGTAGAGAGTCGCAGGCTTCAAAATGTACATGTCAAAAACTCATTTACATCATAAAAACAATTAATAAAAATAGTTCTCTTAAATTTCACGAATGTGTTTTTTTATTTATATGTATTTATTTATATGCAATTCTTATTACTAATTCTGTAACAGGACTTTTTTAACACCTGTATGTAATGTATAATTCTATTTTTCAAATGTAGCCTGAAAAATCAAAGTTGGAGTACATCGAAGACGTTAATATTTATCACAAAAGTTCTGAAGAGAGTCAAGTTACTATTGGTAATTGCCCAGTTGTTGATAAATAAATTCATTCTGATATTAGTAAGTAGTAAATAAGTTATAAATTACATTTCTGTATTTGTAGCCACAGAATTGAACGAAACTGAATTCCAAGAAGGCGAAGAGGTTCTTGACAAATCCTTGGTATCACCTGCAGCAGTAGAGTCCAATGATTCAGAAATCACAAAAAGTAAAGAGGACATTAATGCTTATAAAAGAAAAATTATGCGGAAAATAGCTCCCATGCTACGGATTGATTTTTTGTTGCCAAACCCTTGGACAAACAAATTTGGAAGAAGAAATACACTGGCTAGCATTGACATAAATGATATATTTTTGTTATTACCCCATCGAGGATTACTAAAACCAAGAGAGAGTCAAGATATCCAAGTGATATTTAACCCATCTCATAATGTTAGCGTGAAGGCCACTCTGGAGTGCGAAATCTTGGGTGGGCCATCTGAGTACATAAGTATTATGGGACAAAGTTCGGATTTAATGTACACCATTAATACGCAAAAACTTAATTTCAAAATAAGATCTTTTCATGAACATGCTAGTGAAATACTGGTTATATCCAATATTGCGCAATTATCCTTCGAATATAAAACATACTTAAATGAACCTTCATTTGAAAACGAGCTTCCCGCTACTATTGTTAATTTGGTGCCATCTGAGAAGACTTTAGAACCTGAGGAGGAGGTGTCAATGTCGGTGTTGGTGCGACCAGGGGTAGTGGGCTATTTCCACAGAACCTTCTTAATGGAGATTGGCCATTTTCCTGCTATGCCTATAGAGATATTTGGGTGGGGCGTCGTGCCCCAAGTGTATTTGTGTTTACCTAGACCTCAATTATTTGATGTAAGCCACAATATTTGCTATTTGTAGAAAATATCTAAAGGATTGCAATAAAATCACTTATTTGTACTTGTGTTTTAGCTCCCTCCAATATTAGGATACTTAGCCATACCTTCATTGACTTCCGATTACTTGGGAGCAATTAATGAAATTTTCACAAAAGGTACTTCAGAGCATCTAAACTCTCCGCAAGTAGAACAATGTTTGGAAGATCCGACTTTTAAACAGGAATGGCACGTTTGTACATCTTGGGTAAGTTGTTGTAACGCAACAAATTTTTATTCGCACTTCTCATGGAAGAAAGGCAAAATTTTTTTAGATACTCAGTGTTGCCAGTTTTGTGACATACTCTTTTAATTCCATATTCGTATAGTTTGAATGAAATACAAATGCGAGAGTAGTACTCCGGTGTATCAGATAATTTACAAGTTAGCAACATAGAAAAAAAATTCAAAATTGAAAAATTTTCTAATATATAAATTGAAATAGAGTGGACGTGTGTTACTTTGTTATCTATCCAAACGGAATAAAAAATATTTTACTTAATTCGAACGACATAGACCATTCTTCCATGGCGGGTGAGATGTGTACTTACTTGTGTGAAGCTACTTTAATAAACGAGGTTTTTGTATTACATTTTATTAATTTGTAGGACGAATATCCTTCTAAAATGGATATCGAGCTTGCATTAGAAAGAATGTTAGTGATAAACCACATTAAATCGAGACCTGAAATTATGAATATGTATACACAAAGTGCAAAAATGGGACCTATACCTGGATTTACTACTATTCCTTATGTAATAGATTTTGGTGTCGTTATTACTGGTTCTATAGTAAGTACAGATGTCTATTTTATAGCTTCCAGTATATTCGAACGTGATCAATTATTAGGTTTTATATAGGTTCACGTATGTAGTCACATAAATCACATAAGTCGTCATGAAATGTATAAAATAAAAAAATACTACAGATGTCTATAGAATAATTCTATTTTTGTTATTATTATTATTTTCATCTCATTATTATTATTTTAGGTATTATTTTTAGATATTATTTTTATCAATAATTTTGTCTTTATTTGATGTTTGTTTGTGTATTGTGTGTGTGTTTGACCACTTAGAGCTGCCGTGGCCGGGTCGGGCTGAAAATTGGATTTAACATTTCCCTGAGTTCCTGTCCGTCACACACATATTTAATAGATCTTTTTTGTTACTTTGATTTAAAAAAATTTTTTCTCGTTTCTGTATTTTTTTACGTGTGCGAAAATTAATGGTTTGAATGGTAAATTACTTACTCACAGTTTTTGGTAATGTTTGGGTTGTAGTAGGTCAATGGTTATACACCTTTATTTTTGAATTAAGGTTCAAAGGACAATTGAAGTAAAAAATTATGGCCCAATAGCAGCGAAACTCCATTTCTCAAAAAGTTATTCTTGCCGGCCATGGTTGAACATAAAACTTTGTGGCAAACTTGAGCCAGGAGATACGGGACGAATAGAAGTTACATTTTCGCCGACACCTCATGATTTTAAGGAAGTGGAGCAAAACTTGGAATTGATGCTATACTTAGAGGTAACTTCAGCTAGCTTCGTCATTTTGACCGAACATCCCTATTAGGTATTAGATGCTATTTATTTTTATATACAGGTACCGTATGGAGTGGTAATGCCTATTCAGGTGAAGGCCTTATGCGCTGTACCTTATCTGAAATCTAATGTGAACCTAATTAATCTTGGTAAAGTGCGGTGTGGAGACAAAATAATTAGCTCTATTCCTCTAAGAAATGTGTAAGTAATTTTGTTTTATTGTGTTGATGATGCACGTAAATCAGTTTGACTTATTAGGTAGGTATGTGGTTGTTTGATTTCTGAGAAGTTTGAAGAAGCCTTCAAATTAGACGCTTGTAGAAGAGCTGCAGTGGCAAGACTGTGGAGCGGCAGTTGCGCGTCTGTAGCGCTTCAGTATTTTTTTAGTTCACTAATTAATTGTGGCTGCAAGCAACCGTTTAATTTGAAGGCGCCCAAACCCTCAACGCCTTGACTGAATGAAAAAAAAAACGATTTCTCGTTCGATTTGTTGATTAGTAGAAGTATCTAGTCAATCTCTCAATCATTAACAATTCGCAATTGGTCCAATAAGGCCAGGCAGGGCAGTTAAGGCAGTAAGGTAAGGCAGTTGTACTGAAGAGAGAGAGAGAGAGAGTTTAAATTAGTCGATAGCTTTTATCCATAAATAGTAGAGTTATAAAATTGCTTATATATATATAACGTATATGTACCTATGTAGCGCTTTAAGGAACATAGACAAATACTGAGACAGCGTCCGTTCACTGCTGTGACAAAAATGTTTTATTTTCCTCTAGTATTTGTGTTATTAATATGACTAATGTGAATAAAGTGTTTATCTATCTATGTATACTTATACATCAGTTTCATGTAGTCCGTATTATTTTTATGACTTCTATGTGATGAAAGCACTTTTGGCGTATGATTACATGCGGCTGCATTATACCAAAAGTACGAGATGATGTCAAATTCGAGAATGTCGTAGGAGAGTGCAATGTAATCGGGTGACCGTTTCAATCGCGGAGAACAGGTTGTAAATCTACGAGCACAAGCCATTGTGACTTATGCTGTCGGTATTTATTCTAATTAAACTATTGATCTTTGCACAAAAGAGCCACACGACTTAGTCATGGTTTGATTTAAGGCCTTTTTTACGTACACATAGTCTTCAATTGACTACGGCGTATCCATAAGGGGGAAGGAGATTTCTTATTAATGCGCAAATCCGGCTGTTTGTATATAATATTTATAAATGTATTCATTTGCAACTGTGTTCGTGTTGACAGTAGTAGACAATTTTTTTAATTCTGTAACTGGAAGAGTATTCAAATTTTATACTTGTAAGCTTTTCTATAATGTTGGCAAAAATATATACGATTTTTATAGGGGTAAACCTACTTGCATTTGGTATGCTACATTGAAATTAAAAACAAGTGGACCTAACCCCATAGAGATACTCGACAGTTCGGGAAAATATGAGCCTGGTGAAGGAGGATGGCTAAATGTGTCATTCAAGCCAACTATAGAGGTAACTTAAAAATGTAATGTATTTCTAAAATTTACATTTAAATTGTATTTTAAATGAGCCCTGTAAAACGGGTCGGGCTCGGCCTGCGGCGCGTGGTCGGCTTCAAATTACTGGGTGTGTAAACACACCTCTTCGGTGGTACAGTACTTTGAGCGCTTGATGAGAAGGTTCTGGGTTCGATTCCCGATTTGGGCCAATCTTAGAAAAGAAACTTCTCTAAGTTGATTCTGTTTTGGATATTCTGGGTATTGCCCTTAGAGTGATCGTTATTCTGGTGTTCATAGTACAGGAAATGCCTTAATTTGAGACTAGAAATTTGGTGCGATTATACGGCATTTTTTTCCCTAAATACTTCTCATTGGCATAGCTTCCAAGAAAAAAGAGTCTAACAGAGAGACGGTCGATATACAACAACGCAGTAAGTATTTAATTTCCACTACATCGGGAAGTATGCCTCACATTTTGAACAATTGTGAGATCTTGTACTCATAATAAAGCTTCCGTACAAGTGCTACTCACGTACGGTGGCGTGTCTTTGTTTTAAAAAAATAACATGGCTCTTTAATGGCGGCCATATTGAAAAATGGCGAAAAATTAATTTTGACCGCAAACGTTATTAAACACCCATAGATTATCCCCATAGATTTTCAGTCGAATCAGAGCAAATTTTTGTCTGCCGCCAAAAAACGCTTGTATGTCGGCCACAATGAAAAATGGCGAAAACCTAATGTTGGTTACAAATTATCATTATGCACTCCTATAGACCATGCTAATTTTTAGCCAAATCAGAACAAGTCTTTTTCGGCAGCGATTTTTGACGAAAAAAACACTTATATGGCAGCCATATTAAAAAATATCGAAACCAAAATTTTGACCCCAAATTATGATTATGGACTTCTAAAGACCTCTGCGTGCCAATTTCCAGACGGATCGAAGCTAGTTTTTCTTTGACCACCATTTTGAATTCGCCATCTTGATTTTTTTCTTTGATACAGGCAGTTGACCACTATTGCCCTCTATGACATTCCTTCCAGCACCTCCTACCTATCTCTAATAGTTTCCGTGACAGGAGACTTTAAAATTTGTATGGCGGATATCTTATTTCTTTGAATTTCGAACATTTTTTACTTCCGGCGGAAATTGACCAGGGTGTACATCATGTACATCATAAAAGTGCACAAATGTTCCCTCCATACATTATAGTTTTTGCAGGCCGTTGATCACTCTTTCATATTTTCCGTATTCAGGTCTTCTCATATTTAATTCTTTGCTTTGGAACCTATCCGCGTACAAACGGTATAAGGTGATTCTCGCGAGTCGTTCAAATCGCCAGTTCAGGCTGAGAATCGGTAGAAATATAGTAAATTTTTAAAAAGTTTAATTGGGAGAAGGACATACACAGGAAATGGCTTAGGGAGTCTTTTACGGCGTAGATCTACGTCCCATAATAATTCCGAGTGGTTAAGAGAATGATGTAAAATCTTATTACTCTCCCATTCCAAACTACCAAACGATAAATTGATCGCTGTTTACGCACCTTCTAAAAGAAATACTCACGAATTTTATATGACTCCCCGACAAAGTAACTTATAAATATAAATGATTATTTCTTTAAGCTTATTAATTTTTCAAGTTGTTGGATAATAGAAAGAATATTAGAATTTTGTGCAGCGAAAACCATAATTTCCTTCCGAAGTTATGGTTTTGTTGAAGTTCGCCCTTGAGCATAGTGTCGCCAACCCGTTCCCTTCCTGTTCAGTATGCCGTCAAATCTTGTCACGGGTGGGTCAATGTCAATCTTGTCAATGTGTCATTGCGAAGGAGAAATTTATAGTTTACTTGGACGAAAAGTGGTTTGTCACAGGTCTCTCTTCATCACCTTCCATTTTTTTTTCTGTAAGTATAAAGGTTTTTTATTATTTAATACTGAATTCAATTACGTACTGAAAGTCTATCCTTGATATAATTCTTAGACTTAAGTTGCACGTGGTGTTTGAGTAAGTAATTGAAAACCGTCCATATCTCATTTTTGTTTCCATCTCATTGCCTTCTATTCCCTCCTGTTTATTTGCTGGATGGTAATGATCTCAATTAGACGGTAATGATTGTTTTGAAGTGGAGTGAAGGTTGCAGTTTTTACTTAACCACCGGGTAACGTTTTTTGGGCAATTGTGTATGTGCATGTATGAATATTACTACCTGCAACCTAAAACCATTAGTCATAAAAACTTATTGTTTTAGTAACGTTTAAAGGGCGCGAAAGTGCTATCACACTTCATTTTTAACAAAAATGCCTAGGCAAACGTGAAATAGTTATCAATTAAGATATTTTACGTTAACGTTTTTCTAGCTTTGATTAGCCCCTTTTCAGCGGATTACTTTGTTCAGTTTACTAAGAGATAGCAAATTAGCTAATGGTGATCACAAATTACACTTAGGGTACCTCGAAGTCATGGAAATCTATTTAAATATGGCTAACAAAGACCTTTCCAATGTTTGGCCAAATTAATAATGTATACAGTGTGGCATCAACTTTGCTCACTTAAAACGTTGCTAAAATGTTTCTTAACTTTTGCGGGCGTAAGGATTACATTGGGATTAGACGGTTTGAATAAATCCTGTATTTTTGGCAGTCATTTAACAACATTTCGATGATTTTGCAAGTCCAAAGAATGGCTAGGACGAAAAAACATAAAGAAAAATTAGTAAGAGATCGACTACGTAAGAAAGTTGAGTACATGAAAGTAAAGAATAATACAGCATTTATAAGGAAAACTTTAAAAAAAAATAGAATAGGCAAAAATAGTAATTCAGAGCATAAAAATTATGAGTACAAGGGCTCAGAGAGAATAAAGACGAAAATGGCACAAAAACTGTCGTAAATATTATGAGAATTGAATGTTAAACGACTTTATTAAAATATAAAAAATAAGGCAATTACAAAATGATCTTATTCTACATTTGTAATATAACTAAAGTTAATCTTTACTGAGACTGACTCACGTTTACGAACATTTGAATACGTGATGTTTCATTGTGTAAATAGATGAAAGACAAAAAGACATATATGTTAGAAATACTATGAAAAAAGAAGAGTAGTGAAAACAAAAAAGTACGATGCACAAGCCAAACGTCTAAAGCTAGAAAAATACGCGACGAGGCTATGAAAGTTGTAAAAAATTGGCGGCATAAAATTAAGAAATTTTAATTAAATAAAAAAAAATTAAAAATCATTTTGAGAAAACCAATAAAAGAAACTGAATTTGTTTCAAAAACAAAAAGAAAAAAAAACATTAGAAAAGAAAGTTAGTAACTTAGTAAGAGACATTCCAAAACATTAAGTTCAAGAAGTACAAAAGATTATTGTTTAATGAAACACTCCCGCGGGAAATGAATGAAAAATACAAAAATCCAAAAAATTTCGAAAAATGGTCAGTCAGTTTGTCAGCATGGGAAATTAAAATATACCGTGACAAAAATTAACGAACTATAAATTCAGTGGTTTGATTGATATGATTGTTTCAAAGTAAAATTTGAGTAAATTACTAATTTTATATTTATAATTTATTATTTCCATATTTTGATATTTTTAAGATGTTGACCTACACTTTTAATTTTGAATAAAGCTAGACTGATGGCTACTTATATGATTTTCTTTCTTTTAATAAATTTATATTTCTACGCAGTTTATTCTATATCCGTTGTTGCGACAACTATAGATAAATCCAATTTTTACTAAAATTTATTAAAATTTAATTATGAAAGTATGATAAATTTTTATATTCATATATTTACTCACTTTTCACTCATACAAAATAATGTCATTACTTTCTATAAGCACTCGTTACTATTATGTCATATTTCCATAATGCAATTGCTAAATATTATTTCATTCCATACATACCCATTACCATTCTGATACATTCCATTACCATCCACGCCTTAATTATCTGCCTTTAAATTAAACCTAAAGTTTTAACTTACATTTATTGCTCATGGGTATACGAACCATTATCATGTTTCAGTTTCGACGAAAACGACAATATTTTGAATTTTTAAAAAACGTGCGAATTTGAACTGCTCGCGAGAATCACCCATAAATATTTTTTTTCCACCATATCGGGAATTATGCGTTCTAATTCTGGCAGTGAGTAAGAACTTGTAGCTTATGTAGGTATATATTACTGTTTATGACTTGTTTACACAGGGTCATCGAGTATATAACACAGGGTCGACTGCCACCTTTGGCAGATTACTTCGCTTTGCCGAAAGAGGTCCAATCGACTAGCTGTTTACACAGAGTCGATTAATGCCGAAATCACCAAGTCCAAATCGGGCATTATAAATACAAGTTTACGTATGATTTGTAATATACAAATCGTTTGAAACCTTCAACAAACTGATTAGGTAGGAAGGTACTCCCCGGCGCGTGGAAATTAATTTGTTCGACACTCGCTCACTGAAGACGACCGACTCGGCCGACAGTGATTTCACCTAGTCGACTCGGCCGAGTTCGGCAGCGATCTACAGTCGTTATCGACTCAGTGTTTACCCCTGGATAGGTTGCCGCTTTCGGCGGGCAAGTACGGGCGATGTGTTGACCTAGTGTAAAAGTGCCATAATAAAAGAAAGATTGTTGTATATTTTATCTTAGATGACGTATGAGGCAGTCCTGATATTCAGATTTCACATGAATCCCACTAAAATGACGATACCAGTGATTGGACAAGGGCTGTTCCCACATGTGCATATCATTGGTCCAAAGATTTGCTTCCCGCCGACGCTGCCATGGTCGGAAACGACAGACATGTATTTTGGAATTACTAATCCATGTTCGTTTCCCATCGAACTCATCGTGGCGCATACAGACTCGTGAGTTATAATAACACATAGGTACTAGACTTGTGCCTGATCGGTCCTTAGAGGGAGCGATCTTAGTTAATTCAATCGGTCAACTGAACTAGGTCGGTCTTCTAGTTCATTTAGTTCATCTAGTTCCTTGGTTCGTCTTGTCTTTGCTCCGTACTGAACCTTAAAGAACGATAAACTATTAAAACCGTCCAAGACGAACTAGTTCATGTCGGTTAGTGTCGGGAATAAATTCCTAATAGTTCGTAGTTCATGAACTATGCAAACCTAATAGGTACTTACATCCGCCCTCGGAACCAAAAAGTCACAGTTAACATTTTTCACATCATTGAGCTATATTAGTTACTTATTAGGGATCAGGGAAAAAAGATGCAATGCCTATTTTTTTGTAGCAATCTATCTTAACAATTTTATTGTTGGATATACAGTAAGCCTTAGAGGACGGAAATAAATAAAGGAAAGGAGCTGCCCTAACTACAGAATGAACTTGAAATAGTAAAAGTAATAATTATAAAATAATAAAAACTTCGTAGTGAATTGTTTTAATAACAGAATATCGATAATATGTACGCTTACAAGAACAACACTATCACAAAACAATCATTAACAACAATCATCAAAATATACAAACAAGTTGTCAATCTGAAGTAACCAAAGCAAAATTTGGCAAGATTTATGAATAAACTACTCAAATAAGTCTAATTACATGAGATATTTGGGAAAACATTTGTTTTGACATTTGATGTACTTCCCTTTGACAACCGTATCATGTACCCCTTAGACTTTTCCGTCCTCTAAGATGTACCCTTAGAGGATGGGCAGTAAGTTAGCTGAAAAAAAAAACGCCAAACTGACATGAATAATCAGATTTGCTACCATAAAAACATGATAAAAACTGATTAGACGTTTAATATTTATATATATAATATTGGTGAAGTGGGACCCAAGAAAATAGATGTTTTAGCGCATTTCGTCACACGGGAAATAGGTTTTACGATATTGAAAAATACGAAATAGTTTCACTTGATTGTTATTATAGACATTTCAATGAAATTTTCTCTACCGTCTTCCGTAATAAACAAGTTGGAGCGGCTGGGGCGTTTTGCAACCTATTAAATTTGATGTTACTGTGTATACTAAGGCGCGGTTCTAGAAGAAGGTAAGGAAAGTCATGGGAAAGTCGGATTTACGGCTATAGCATCGAGAAAATAAAGAATAAAAAATAGAAAGAAATATGAAGAAAAACTACCGTGCCGTACCTTGAACTCCTCATTAGGGCCGTATACGCTGGAGGTGTACGCCGCCAGGGGAATATTCACACGCAAACAAATCACTTAAAATAATGCGGTTTTTCAATGAAAAAAAAATGTCCGTCATCCGCAAGAGCAGCGTAGCGTCTCGATCTTCTTTTTATTTCTTTTTCTTTTTCTCGAAGTGGTCGCGACGAGGTTCACTTGCCGTACCGCGAGCCAGCAAATACGAAACCAGCGCACTCTAGTGGCGACTTCTTATCTTCTATTCCCTTCACTCAAAGGCTCCCTTCACACAAAAACGCACAGTGAAAAAAGGGAAAGAGAAAGATTCGATGCTATGCCTTACTAATGAAATTAAAGTATCAGCAAAGAAGCGGATATTGGTTTGAATGTGAAAGTTAAACATAGCCAATAAAAATTGTATGGGAAATTTAAAAATAAAAATAATTAATGTGTGGCGTTACCACAAGTCAAGGGCCATGAGTTTACTTTTCAGCAAGAAAGTACATATTTTAGAGGCAAATGTTTAAATGTCATGCAATGAATTTTTCCGCGTCTGCTTCATACGCTTCTACGCAACGCAACCACAATACCATTACGCCTTAAGAGTCGATACTACCTCAGCTCGAATTCGAATTTTTAATTTAATTTATTTTTAATTACTAATTAGGTCGAGCGGCAGAGACACTGGCTTTATTTCAGAATTTATTTTTTTACGAACGAAATTAAAGCTATTTGAAAAGTGCATATCGTGTAGTATACGTGTTATATTTAGCTCAGTTGATATTAAAAAATCATTGGTGTATGCTGTATGCTTGGTGTATGTAAAGTACCTATTGAATACAGCGGTTTTCTTGAAAAATTTCGAGGTAAATTTGTGTTTTTATTCTATCGTGAAAAGTTTTAGGAATCGTGTTTTCCACCGTACAGTAACCGGCGTATATCCTAAATTTTACTACATATTTTTTCCAAAGTGATCGATTCAACACTTTCACTGTTATGCGGAATCAACCAAAGCCATTTGAGTTTGTATAGACTCTTAATGGCGGCCACTAAGGCTTGGGCTAGCGTCAGCTTGGAACGTTTATTAAGTTAAAGATACTAATAACACATAACACAGATAATACAATACTGCTAATAATATCAAAGGATTTTACTTAGTAATGTACGGAACAATGTCCTTACTAAGAAGAGCAATTACAATAATTACTTCACAAATAAAATAATATAAAAAGGTCGCAACTGGCTATTATTGTGCCCTTTTACTTTTTTTTTATTTACTAACGCCAATGACCACTCAACTTAACCCCGCACTAGGGAAACCCTGAATCGCGGGTGCCATGGACGCACACATAGACAACCACAAATTATGTCCAAACTCACGAGAGAAATAAATGTAGGCCATACAAATATTTATCTCGCCCCGAGAATCGAACCTGGGACCTGCGTGGCAGTCCGGCGTGGTAACCGTTCGGCCACGGAGGCAGTCAAAAAGTTAAGGTATTTAAAAAAATGGCTTATTAAAATACAATGGAAATTTCTGAACGAAATATGTCTTGTATGTATATTTAACATAAATAAACCACTTAATATCAAAAATGTAACTATTCTTTTTAGTAGAAAACCTAGAATTTATCCGAATTTTGAATTTGCTGCTAGAGCTTTTTTCTTCCGAGGGCAGTATTTTACTTCACATTAGTAGCAGTAGAGCTCCTTGTGAAAGAGCTCGTCCAGGGAAGTATTGCCACCTTATCTGTTTCTGCCGCCAAGCAATAATGTCAGCATTACTGTGTTTCGATTCTGAAGAGTAAGGGTTCCTGTTGGTAATTATAATAAAAGGTATAACATAAATATTAACGATTTAGTAAAAATTGTGTATCCCTGAAACTATAAGGGTTCTAAGTTTTCTACAAAACCATAGAATCATAATTTCAAAGATTTCATTATCTGACACAAAAAAATGAAGGAAATTAGAAATTCACATATTTAATTTTTCGGCGAATACTTGATAAACAAAATTTATTTTATCGTTGACAGGAACTGGAAAGAAGAGGAGGATATGTTTAACTTATTATATAAATATTACAATAAACCACCAGAAATACTGCTTCCTATCGTTAAGCCTGGCCAAGGTATGCCAGCACCAGTTACAGATTTTTTCGACAAATTCAAAGCAAATGTAAAGAGGTAAATTCAACGTATATTTATTTTACATAAGTACATAACATACATTACAATAAAACTTATGAAGCGAAAATTTAAATTTATTTCAGAAATATTGAAGAAGAAACCGCAGCAGCTTTGAAAAGTGCCAGTATACGTGCTGATACACGTGGAAAGTATGTAAATTTTGAAAGATACCTAACTTATCTGAAAGTGTGATATGTAATTCTGTTTACTAAACAAGTATGTTCCCATCGAGTTCTTAGGTTTTCACGATTGTTACACATGGGAAATGAAACTATGTTTTCAGATCTAAATCGCGTGTACTTATTTTTGGAAACAAACGATCTTTCCGGCCCTTACAGGTCTTTAAATAAATAAATAACGCACACACTCAACGTAGCCCCGCACTAGGGAAACCCTGTGTCGCGGGTGCCATGGACACACATATAAACAACCACAAATTACATCCAAACTCACGAGAGAAATATATATAGGCCGTACAAATATTTCTCCCGGCCCGGGAATCGAACCTGGGGCCTCTGCCTGGCAGTCTGACATGGTAACCGTTCGGCCACTGAGGCAGTTACTATTCTAATTACTATTAACACTCGGTCTAATTTCGGTTTAATTACTATTAATATTAGACATAATTGGTTGATGACTACCATCTCAGTCAGCTGTGACCATGGGACCTGCAAAAGGCCCGAAACGTTTCTAGAAACAAATATGCGCGATCTAAATCCGAAAAAATAGTTTCATTTCCTGAGTACGTATATATTTCAGAAAAGGAAAAAGCCCAAAGCCCAAGTCTGCTGTACCTCGCAAAGATGCAGTACCGCCATCGACAATCAGAAAATTCAGATCCGAAGCCGAAATAATCGCAGGTATATTAGTCGATCCTTTGTTAAATTAATAGGGTAAATATTTTTCACGCAACTAAGAAATTAAATAGTTGAGCGTCATTCATACGGCATTGTACTGCACGTTTCTTTTTCAGTATAAATGTTAGCGAAAACAGTGGCACATACATTAAATATAGAACCTTTCCCACGTCGTTTGTACTGCAAAAAAAACGTTCTTCGATAAATACATACATATACACAGGAAGCCGTAGAAGCCTAATGGTTTGACCTACTGCCTCTCAAGCAGAGGGATTTATGTGCGAAATTTAATTTGAAATTGATCATTAGCTTTTCGGTGAAGGAAAACATCGTGATGAAACCACGAAACCACGTTGAAGAAGGTTCACAACCCTCGGAAAACGTGTGAAGTCTCCAACCCGCATTGGCCCAGTGTGGCGGACTATGGCCTAAACCCTCGTCTGAAAGGAGACGCGTGCCCAGCAGTGGGACATACAAATGGGTTCATGATAATGATGACGATGATGATGATGATGTCACAATATCATCATGCCTGTCTCCAGGAACAGGAGGTCCATAGTCTCTGCATATCACTCTAAGTGCCCTATATGTACAAATAATGTATATACATGTATGTAATGTATATACAAATAAATGTGTTAAATAAATAGTAATATATAAATAGTACAGGATGTAAGATAACACGCTAGGAGGGAGGAAATAAGTGTGTAGGTACTATAGTGGTTTTTCTCACTGCCGGTCTAGCAGACTCATAAGACCGATCGACTGAGAGCTACTAAGGGTGTTTAGGCCGCAGCGAGAAGAAGCTGGCACGAAATAAATTAGACTCGACTGCTTTTGAAAGACTGATTTTAATAATAACTTGATAGCTGTATATACTGTTTATATGTTCGGTGCGGTGCACGCTCGGATTCGGACGTGCTCCATTACACAGTAAGAATCATAATAATTCGCGACCCGCGCGGCAATAGCCGCTGCGCGTAATTGACTATGGCATCTCAACAACTCATAGCCAATGAAATGCTGGCGTTCATCCAACACGCCATCGACACTATGGACGAGGTCAGCGTCGTGCAGATCTGTAAGTCAAACTTCAAAGAAGAAGAGATTTGCTGTGGCAAGGCGCTGCTTTTCCGCACGCTTGGCAAGGTCGAGCAGATGCCATCTCGCCGGAGGGATGGAGGAGCGAAGAGTCTTCAGGGCACCATTACGCTGTTTAAGGAAACCGACACAGACGACGTGCCTGCTTTCATGGCGAAGGAGCTGCACAAGCAGCCTCCTGTCACGTTCGACCATGTCGACGTCACCAGGCTACTGAAGGACATCAAAGCAAACCTTGCTGAAGTTGGGTGTAAATTGGAGGCCTCCGTTAACACCATCAGTGATTTACGTGCCCAAGTTGTGTTACGTTGTGCGTTTCGTATCGATTCTTTCGAACGCGGCTCGACACAGGTTTGCAACAAATCTGCAACCTGCGAATTTCTGATCGCGTCCGTACGCATCCGACGACCGCTGATAGACATTGACGGCCTCGTCGACGCCTGAACGGCAGCGTTGGATTCTGAATTGCCGCGTCAACGGCGAGAGTGTCGTTCAACACGATCGTATCAAGACGATTCCGCGTTAAGGAATTCGGTGATGCGGCTTCCGTTCGGTGGACACCGTGTTCAGTTTTCCCGTGTATGGTCGATCTCCAGCCGGACAAGGAAACTGATTCAAGGCCCTGTCTTGAACACGTTCTATGTTCAAAACAGACGCCTGTAATCAATTATTTTGTATATTTATTGCGAATACGTTGTTGTAAACTAGGTTTTCTTAACAAGGATTCTGCAGCATTGATCACTTTAAAATTTTAAAAATAAATTTTGAATGAGTAATTGTAATAGGTATCTAAACATTGTATATTTTTAAATACACTTAGTCATAAATATTGTCATTGTGTGATTGGTTAACACATAGGTAATTTATCGTACATGTAATCTCAAGTTGAAATATAATAATGAGTATATATAATTCTAAGAAAGACGCTGGTTTCTTTAATATTTATCCTTTATGGGGTTTCCGTCAAAACCGTAGGTTTCACTATAAAAAATCCTTCGTGCCAGTTGTGTACATTGTAACGCGTAATATTATTATTTGTAATAGCGTAATATTTAATAAAGTAATACTTACTCGTGTGTAAATTTTTGAGTTTTAAAAAGTACGAATTTGGTCGCCAACCCATTTTTTTTTGTTTTAGATTATAGTTAATTTTCGGCTCCATTAAATATAATACTACTTGTGAATTTTGTAAGTAATTCCATTTGTGAATAATTACCACTTCGTCCCTGCCTTTTCTGCAAACGTATTTATATAAAATTTTCACAGATGAGATCAAAGCAATGAAGGAGAAAGAACTAGACCCTTTAGCAGAATCTCATCAAGCTGTTGACCTCAGACCAGAAGCCACAGGTTCGGCGACGGCAATTAATGTAGAGTTACCACAATTGAAAGGTCTTCTGCTTTTTGTACACGGGACGCCTTGCGACGGTAATCTACCAATGATGTTACAAGTAATATCGAAACATTTACAATAACAATTGTCATTTATGAAAGTAAAATGTTTTTATTTTTTAAGAGATGGAGTGTAGAGAATTAGCTTACACGCTAGGAATGCAACTCCGCATTCCTACGATCAATATAGATATAGCTTTCGTGGAGGCTCTCTGCGTTAGCACTTGCTTTGCTAAAACGCTTATATTATCCGCAATCAATACAACATACGAGAACATGAAAAAAATAACGATGGCAACGAAATCCGAAACTGGCCTTGAGGACACATTTGGTATGAAATGTTATCATTATATATTTATATTTTACTTATATAAATAAACGCAATACTCAATTGAAGTATTTTTTATTAACTGCCTCCGTGGCCGAACGGTTACCATGCCGGACTGCCACGCAGAGGTCCCAGGTTCGATTCCGGGCCGGGAGAAATATTTCTATGGCCTACATTTATTTCTCTCTTGAGTTTGGGTGTAATTTGTGGTTGTCTATGCGTCCAAGGCACTTGCGACACAGGGTTTCCCTAGTGCGGGGCTATGTTGAGTGTGTGCGTTATTTATAATTTTTTTTTATTTTAGAATCCGAAGAAAATGAAGATTTATTTGAGGTTATTCAAAGGAAGTTAGAATTCTTAGCAAACAGTAAAAACATTACGACTCCACGATCGAAAGCCAGCGACAAGAAAAAAAAATCCGAAACGTCAGACGGGTCGCAAACAATCTTACCTGTACTGGGATCCACTACTATGTTCAATATGGTTGTTATATTATGATATTACGTACGAACAAACGTGTGTTTAAAAGTGTAATATTATTGTCAGCATAATTTAGGAATATATTTAATTCACATTTTTGTAGGACTATACTACTGAATTGTTGAGCGATTACTTCAGCGGCGAAAAATTCCACCGTGGTTTTGTTGTGGACTCTTTGACAAGTCAAATAATAAGGCCTCCTTCTTTAGTGTTAAGTACTTTAATAAGATGTAAGCGCAGTATACAAAATTTACATCTGTTGTTGGGCAATACTGACTTCAATAAGTGGATACTGACATATGAAGAAGCACAACACAAAAGTGAAGCAATGGAAGCGTGAGTTCATTAATGTAATATACACTTTTGTTTGCATTACATCATTAAAAAAAATTTTTTTTTTCTTAGAAATGCTGCAATGCAATTGGATAATGTAGAAAATATACAGAAAGTTGTGCAAGAATGTGAAGAAATGGATGGCGATGAATATGAAAATTTAAATCCTGAACTTAAACAAATATATATTACACACGCATTGGAAGTCAGGAGACGTAAACATTTGGAGAAAAAACGTAAAATCGCAGAAAAATCTGGGTATTTATTATATGTTGTATACATATCTTTCGCTTATCGAATCTTAGTTTCGAGGATCGGATATATATTAGATGATTCATTTTAGCAATGTCTAATTTATACGTATATACTTTGTTCTTTTAATTATATAGATGCAAATTACTAACCTTTGTAATATTTTCAGGCGGTATAATGACGTTAGCCATAAAAAAGAAAAGACTGTGAAAGGTAATCGTTTATAGTTACCTTTAGTTAGTTATACCTCTTATTATGGGAGTAGTAGCGTAACGTCTAATAATCTAGAAATGTCACATTATATACACATTGTATTTTAGCGGATGTCAGCACTTCTCTATTAGCACCTTCAGATTCGAAGAGGAAGTTGAAGAAAGATGAAGTCAAAGCTAAACCTCCCGCTGGTAGGCCCTTATACATTATACATATTCGTCATCATTTATCATCCATAGCTTAATTACACCCAGTGTTGAATACGGGCCTCCCTTAGTTTGTGCTATTCACTACAATCATGCGCGAGTCGCGTCTTTCTACGGCCTGCGAATTTGACGATACTGTCTTACTATATCTCTGCAAAACTTGGCAATTGGTGTAATTCCACGAACTTTTGAGGTCTGTTTTTACAGCCTTTTGTGTCAGCGTCTATGTCTGGTCACCGTAAATCAAAATGGGCATATTAGTTGAATAAGCAGGATTTCAAACAAGACATGTGGATATTCCAAAGATTCGTACGAAGCGTTACGCTACCACATTTATGTGGCGAACGGCTATGGAGTGGAATTCCCTGCCTGCAGACTGGTTCCCTGAACGTTATAACTTGGGTCTTTTCAAGGCGAGAATGAATAGGCATTATTTAACTGCCTCCGTGGCCGAACGGTTACCATGCCGGACTGCCACGCAGAGGTCCCAGGTTCGATTCCCGGGCCGGGAGAAATATTTGTATGGCTTACATTTATTTCTCTCGTGAGTTTGGGTGTAATTTGTGGTTGTCTATGTGTGTGCCCATGGCACCCGCGACACAGGGTTTCCCTAGTGCGGGGCTATGTTGAGTGTGTGCGTTATTAAGTGTGCATGCTCCATGGTCGACCTCATCGTCACTTTCTATCAGGTGAGGTGGAGGTCAAATGCGCACTTATATTTAAAAAAAAAACTTAAAATAGTGGCTTAAAATTTAAATCTGTGTTGAAGAAAAGGTAACAGCAATTTGCTGGTGAAATTACCGGCACAACTTATGTCTCAGGGTGACGGGCGCAGTGGCAGTGCCCCTCAGGTCTTTGCGATTTAAAGCTCTGACTGGCACTGCGTCCGTTATGGATAGGCGTGTAGCTTACCATCACGCGCATCTTGCTCGTCCCGTCACTTAATATTAAAAAAAATCTCCTAAATCTGTCTCTAACTTTATAAAAAATCTTAGTAAGTTGCACTGGGTTTATTTTGCTGTTATTCGCTTTACAGAATTCCTGGCTTCAGAATGATATAACGTGTTAATTATATTCTTTTAGTTAAACCACGTTTCGTCGATGAAGTCGTAAATATGACGACAAAATATAATGATTATATAAAAAACGTATACGACTCTTTAATAAATATTGCAATTAACTGGGTTATGGAAGAATGTGACATAGGAGTGCCATTATTTGCAATAAACGGCCTCTTGGCTAGTACACCGGCTAAAAAGGCAAAGAAAAAGTCTGAAATACAAATACAGGTATAGCGTTTCAATGCTTTTTATTGAAATTGAATTTGAAATGTCTTTATTCAAATATAGAAATAAGGCAATTACAAAATTATCGTAATTCTAAATTTGTAATACTACACAAAGTTAATCGTTACTTACGCTGACTCACGTTTTCGAACTTTACTTTCGAACTTTTAGTACGATATTTTATTGTGAGGATATTTGTTTCTCTTCTTGTCTTCTTTCTCTCTTAACTTTCTATTTGTTTAGTGTTGTGAATTTTACTTCAATACTGCTTTTGTGTGATCAATACCTCTATTAGCAATATGGAAGACAAAAACAAGTGCCTTAAGTCTCGATTACTATCAAAATCGATGTCGCCAAAACTCAATACATTTGAAACACTACAAATTGTTGATATTGATTGGTCGTAGTATCAAATTTAAAAAAAAAACGAACTCTGGGTTGTTAATACAATTTAAACTTTACCCTGTTGGCATATCGTTGAAAATTCAATACTATCAATACCTATTATTGCAAGTTACGACGTTTTGATATTATATTGAAATTTCAATCAATTTGCTGCCATCTAGCGGTTAATTGCTGAACGACGATGAATTGGGAGTTATTAATTTAGTTCTCCGGATAAGAAGCCCGATTATGCCGGGGTCTTATACCCTGCTTTCGTTTCTTGTAAGAAAAAAAATCTTGATTAAACAGAAAATTGAAAATTTATTGAAATAAGAATTTCCGATGTTATGAAATACCACCACGGGTAATATTTATGGTGCGGCTATAATTTTTGCACTCCAAACCTGCACAATGAGGCATTTTTCTAAGATTTTTTCGTGCAAAAGCACGAAAAGATGACACAATCGTACCATACAAAGTGAAAATGGCGGATTGAGCTCAAGTAGGTCTTTCGAGACCTAGACCTATAGTTGGCACGCGACAGACGCTATCTGACCACTTCTACTGTATTTATTGTTCTGTTATTAGCAATACTTATTAGGTACTTATAATATTTGCTTGCTATACTTTTTATTAAGTCACTCGACTACCTCGTTAAATATGTAATATTGAGCTCTATCATTGAATATTTTAGGTGTCAGAAGTCGTCATTCAAGAAAGAGGATTTCCGCTGACGATTTTATTAAGCCCGTGTAGCCGTTACAAAGAAGGCTTAGTAAATATGTTTAGGACGACTCCTTTCTTACACAATGCTCTGAAAGAGGAAACGGAGTTCGATATTCTACAATGTCCAGCAACAACAAAACAATATACTCTGCTATTACCCAAATCTTTACCGCCTATACATTACGAAGAACCTTTAGAGTGGCTGTACTTGGACGAAAAGCCGGTATTAACAGCATTTCTCTCTTGACTAATACAATCTTATACAATTTTTCATAATGTATTTTAATCGCTCTTTGCCGTTTACTATTTCAGCTTAAAAAATGTGAATGCAATCAAATAACAGATCTGCACTTAATGGATGATACTAATCAGGATAATGTGATAAATATTTTGGCCAAATGGCACTGCATTTGTGGGAAAAAAGTGTGTAGTTGATTTTTAAATAGAAGTTCGACTAATGCATTATTAACTGTATAATAATCCGAGATTGGAACAGGCAGAGTGTGTTGCCTAAACTTGAATGGAGTAGTACATATAAAGTGGATAATACCTCCCTTTGATATCTCGGAATTGTCGATTAATGACAAGCGTTAAGGTGCATTTTCCTAACGCGCCTCTGCGGTTGTCATCAGATGAGGCCATTATTGTATTATTTTGTCCTATATTTTTGATGTGTAACTAGCGAATATTTTATTTTATTGAATATCGTTATGTTTTTACTATCATGATGATATTCATGTATTGTTTGTGGAGATACTTCACTAGTTCATTGTTATTATTAATACAAAGATCTAACAAATAAAGAAAACGCTGAACTACGCGAGAATTTGAAGAGTGATAGTTTTGACGAAAAAGTCGCAGGTTTGTGTCCAGCTGGATGGAAGGAATTTTTCTTTGTTTTTATTCGAGCTTTGTATCTATAATAATAATAGCGATTATTTTTAACCGACTTCAAAAAAGTAGGTTCGTAATTCGCTGTATGTTTTTTTGTATGTATGTTACGCGATAACTCCGCCATTTGTGAACCGATTTTGATGATTCAGGAGTGGTCCCATTTAAATTTGAAGAAAATATTCGACCTCTTAAGGGTGGTAAACTAGGCGATGAATGACTTTTGAACGGTTTTTTTAGTACTCTGTGCTGAGGTTGGGTTATACAGTAATGCACTTAGATGAAAAGTTTTGTAATTGTAAGTAAAAATATAACTACATCTGTGGCCGAACGGTTACCATGCCGGACTGCCACGCGGAGGTCCCAGGTTCGATTCCCGGGCCGGGAGGAATATTTGCACGGCCTACATTTATTTCTCTCGTGAGTTTGGATGTAATTTGTGGTTGTCTATATGTGTGTCCATGACACCCGCGATATAGGGTTTCCCTAGTGCGGGGCTATGTTGAGTGTGTGCGTTATTATTAGATATATCCGTGATATCGGAAGGAGTATTATTCTCTCTATGTGTGTCACTTGAAGATTAGGTGAATATCTGTGCCTATTCCGATCTTTATTAGAGTATATTTTTAAGATGGCATCCTCTCAAACGTCCACAAGTGAAATTCCTACAATCTTGACGGAGAAGACGATTCAGGATACAGTAACAGAAGAAGACACGTATCCGCTGCCTTTGAGAATTGTCAAATCAGTGCCTGGTAAATGTTATAGCGAGACATAGGTCAATGTAGCGAGAGTAATATTTTTGACAGTGACACATCCATTTGACATTTTAACACATGTACCTATATGTATTTTTACTTTATCTAAGTCATGTGTCTATGTATTATTTATAATCTATTTTTTGTACTAGTTCCTAGCACCCGTATAGTGCTGCAACCTGGCGACTTGCTAAGGTTTAAATACGCTTTTAGTCCTAAATTGGAGGGCAACTATTTTGTGAAACGCTACGTAGAAGTAGCTGGCTGGCCGGAGTCTAGAACGGAGATAAGCGTCAATGGAATTTCAGACATTCCAAGGTTGGTAATCTACAGATAATATACGAGTACAGTACGTACATGCTGCATTTTTCTTTATTACTGGAAGACATAATGGGTAGGTTCCAGGTTAAATAGTTCAAATAATATTCTTAATTCTAATTTTAACACTAGACATATACAGTGGCAGAAGTGCTCCTTGTGAAAGAGTTCGTCCAGGGAAGCACTGCCGCCAACTAGTAATGTCATCGTTACTGCGTTCCGGTTATGAAGGGTAAGGATAGTGGTGTAATTACAGGCACATGACACTTGTCTACTTATGTCTCAGGGTGACGGGCGCACTGGCAGTGCCATCTATCTTTGTTATTTAAAGCACTGAGTTAGCTGCAACTGTTATGGACAGGCATGTCACTTACCACCAGGTGGGCGACATTCGTCCCTTTACTTGGTCTCATTAAAAAAACCATCACATTGACATGACTGTCAAAGAAAAATAGTTATTTGTATATTGTCCCTTATTGGTCAGTGTGATTTTTGGGGATGATGCTACCGTTAAACAAAAAATAATTATAATTGGCGATTTTAAAAAAGCTTATTTCATGTTAAATAATAAAAAAATTGATGGGTAATTTTACTCCTTAAAAATTTCGCAGACCTTTGGGATCACACTTTTACCTACCACATAGGTCAAATACCTATAGGTAATGAAATTTAAGTGAATATGCAATGTTATTTTCAGGCTGGATAATAGACCCAAAAAGATGTTCGGAAACTTTGTTAGAAGAAGATTGGAAGATACAGTCTATAAATCGACATATTTAGACGATATCAAAATGTTCGAATTTGGTCCGATTTTCATTGGAAAAAACAGGTTATGTTATAATATAATAGTATATATTCTAGTATATATGTATGAAGTAGGTATATAGTTATTGAGATTACCTATCACCTATTTTGGGCCGAATTTCGTCCCAGATTTGATTCCTGAGCCGGGAGAAATATTTGTATGGTATACATTCATTTCTCTCGTGAGTTTGGGTATAATTATGATTTGTGGTTGTCTATGTGTGTGTCCATGGCACCCTTGACACAGGTTTTTCCCAGTGCAGAAATATGAGCGTGTGCGTTAAAAAAAAGGATATCATAAAACCGTATTTATTTACTATTATGGTTTTATAGTTAACTTACAGCTATTGATTTTATGATTATTTTATGTTGTTGTTCAGCATATGCCTTGCAAGTAGGTGGTCTTTCTTTGTGTATCTATTTTTAAAAACAGCCTTTGCATTTACTGGTAAGAAAACTCATAGGTACACAGGTATCAAAAACGTTTACAACCGTTAATATGCAAGAGCGCCTTTATATTTTTGTTACTTCTTTAGAATCTATGAAGAAGAATATACGATAGATCTGAGAAATGCCTCCTTAATGACAGCTGATATAGATATCCAGTTTCTTGATGATCTCGAGGATTTCCAAATAGACAAAACTTATATGAGGTTGGAGGTAAGGAAATACATACATTTTATTAACTTTCGTCTGTGTATTTGGTGAATTATCACTAGTATATTTTTTATCGAGGGACTAAAACGAGCCAATATATACTTGAGGTGGTTAGCCACTTGAACTTTAGCGAGAGTGTCTATTACTCCGAGGGTTTATATTGGTGTTGAGGTAAAAACTTTTCACTTCGATTGCGAGAAAAAAAAATTGCAATCGTTTACGTTCTACAACAAAATCACAAGCCAAAATTCTGAAGTTTTCGCGGTATATTTTTCCAACCAGACATGATACTTACAATAAACGCAACAAAACATCACGATTAGTAGTGGTCTTTGGCAATCATGAGCGTCTTTTAAACGATTTAAGTGCTACGTCGGTCACTATATTGCCCCATACACAAACGTACAATAATGTGGCGCCACAGTCTATGCGGAAAAAGCACGGAGCTAAAACCGAGTGTAGTCTTAGAACTTTAGATTGTAACATTTTTATGAAAATGGTCTACACATAAGCATTTTTTTATTGAACTTCCGTAGCGCAACGATATCAGTGAAACTGTAGGTTTACTTACTTTGCTGAATTATTATAATGTTAAATTATAATGATCTTTTTTTGGTTTTGTGATTATTTTTAAGTGTTGTTTTAGTTGTAATTATATTGATTCACTTATTGAACTTTTAGCTTTTGGTACAAACTAGAGCACGTACTGTACACGTATTTTAAGTTTGTCTAGGTCACTCGAACTAAATTAAAAAACTGGGTACATTTTATTCCATAAGGATTAACTGATGCACTTTGCTCCCGCTACGAAGACTATAGGTATTGACGTAGGTACTTTTAGAGCATGACAAGTGAAGACATATGTACTTTTATATAAAATAAATATATTAAATTTATTATGTTTCTTCTATTGAATATCAGTTTCTACTACCATGATATTCATATATTTTATGTGAAAATATGAAAACCATCAAAATGAAAATAACAGTTTCTCATAGATGGCGCTGACGGCAAAAAACTGTTCAAACCCAATACAAAGATTGCAGTAAGCACAAAGACAAATTCGGAAGGTCTGCGCCTGCCGACTCAGTTCGTAGCTCAGTTGGTAAGAGTGGTGGCCCCGGTGTGGCATCAAGCCCTGGTTCGAGTCCAGTCAAATCGAAGCAATTTTTCTTTGTGGTTGTTCGATCATTGTATTAATAATAATAAAATTAATATTTTTATAAATGTTCGTGCCAGCCTGGACATCGAGACAAGCTAACCATAACAGCAGCTCCACAAGTCATGGGTGTTCATACCGCGGTACTTCTTTTTTGCGTGAAAGACAATCCCGAGATTGTAAGAATCACAATCGGGTGCAGTGGAGTTGTACCTATAGTGGAGATATTGCCTGTGACTAAAACTATTGGTAATATTTTAATTTACTTAATGCAAAGTAGAGCATACTCGTACCTAAAAGTGGGCCGTAATTATAAAGTGTGTGGACTTGCATGCCATTTAACAGGTACCCATACGTCCCATCCATATTTACGAGGGTCAAAAACTCGTCGTCAAATGAATCCGTTTTTCCATTACCTACTTTAATCATAGTAATAATGATCTTTACTAATTGTTTTTGGAAATAGGATAACATTGCGATTATATAAACATACTTATTTGTATTTTTCTCAAACATGCTCGGAAATGTTTGCATTAGGTAGTTTCAAAAAAAGGACCCACAAACTTTTTGCCGGCAAAATAAGTAAGAATAAATTTTTAAAGGTATTCGTAATGTTATATTATGACCACATAGATATTATACTTTGTTTTTTATGCTCACTGACATATATGTCATATATACATATATATCATTGACGGATATAGTTTAAGATTGTGACGGTGACTAAGGACACGTAACACTCTGCGTACAGCTGATCAGTTGAAAGGTTTCAGATGTGTCACCTTCAGCTCATCTTTAGAGCCTTTTCCAGTTCCTAAAAATATATTTTGTAAATGTCTGAAAACGTCTGAATCTTGATTTTACTATTATTTTGCTGTCATCCCTCGCTAGTACTATTAAGTGTACTTGAATATTTAATTCTTCCAAAGTTAAAAAGCTAAATTGTAATTTGCGACTCGATGGTCACTTAATAAAATATTACATTTTAGATTACAACAAACTATTACTCTACCGACGCGCAGATGACCGTTTTATAGTAAAAAACGAGTCAATTCTCCCAGTGATGTGGCAAATACGCAATCCAGAAGAGTTTGTGGAAGACTTCATTATCTCTCAAACGAGTGGGATCATACCACGAAACGACAATAAAGTCGTACCCGTCACATACATCGCTTGCAACGTCGGCGTCATTAGCAACAGGCAGCTGATTATTGATGTATGTATTATATGACATATTTATTATTATTTTTAGTTATTCTATATTATTTTTGTTTCAAATTAGCTTTCTTTTAAAAAAAATTTCTTACTGTGTATTACTGTGTTGTGGCGTTATGTAATAAATGCTATTCTATGCTATTCTAAAAAGCAGAATTATTACAAATAATTATGTGGCAATCTATGATTATACCTTTATATTATAACTAAAAAAGGGTCTATAAATTATGTTTTAAGCTTAAACTGCCTCTGTGGCCGAACAGTTACCATCCTGGACTGCCACGCAGAGGTCCCGGGTTCGATTTCCGGGCCGGGGGAAATATTTGTATAGCCTACACTTATTTTTCTCGTGAGTTTGGGTGTAATTTGCGGTTGTGTACCTGTGTGTGTCCATAGCACCCGCGATGCAGGGTTTCCCTAGTACGGGGCTAAGTAAAAAAAAAAAGCTTTAATTGCCCGATATTGCGTTTGAAGAGATAAAAAGCGATTTCGTACAAAAACGGAGTTACGAGGTTTTCAAATTTAGGTGAGGATTTTTATTTTAGTTGTACCTACAGCGCGCTATGCAAAGCGAGTGCACAAACCGCACGGCTACGTTTGTATGGAGTTAAACTACTTGTCTTATTACACTATTCATAATATAATTTACGCATAATCTGAGTAGATTATGCGTAAATTATTTACTTAATTTCCTTGCACGAAAAATTTATCGCTTCACATCAAATTTTTAACAATAGAGAGTCACCGCGTTTATGGATATGAAATCGCATTAAGCCGGTTAGAAATCATCCCGTGAACTCATCCCATAATCGCAATCTTCGCTCAGACAGCAAATTGACTCTTTTAATTCTTTCTCACCGTACTGGGTTTCTTTCTGATTCATTTACTCTTCAGGCAATACGCAATTAGTCCGCGATTTCATATTGGAGACATCAATCTACATCCCAATATTAAATATATATTTGTATGTATTATATATTATGTATTTGTGTGTATAGGTTGCTTATATAAGTATAGTTAGTCATATAATATTGTGTGCTATATTTATACTGTGTTTACACTATATATTATAATTATTTATAATATTCTACCTATCTGTTTTAATTATCATGTTATGCACCCCTGTTAATTATTTTGAACGCAGCTCTCCGGTTGACTGGTAGAGAATACCTAATCGCATTAAGTCCGCCATTTATAGTGTTTTGTGTGCAATTAAGTTTAAATTAAAATAAATAAATAAAAGCGAAAAAGATGTGCGTTTCGCATCGGTTCGTACGGCACCACTCGATACAGGTCGGTGACGAATCTGCTTCCTGCGAATTCCCGATCACGTTTATACGCAGCTAATGATGGATGATCGGTGGCGTCGACACCCGAACGGGTTTGTAACGGTAGAGTCAACGCCCCAAGGCCCGCGTCGACGACGCGTACCACTCCGAAAGGTGCGAAAGTCATATTTCATATCCTCCGATTCAAAACGATGGCTCAACAGTCGCTCCAACTTCCGAAATACCGCGGTGATCCGTATCGCCGCCTCGAACGCACGCCAAAACGGCTACGTTTACGGCCGATTGACCCCGTCGACATTCGAACGAGTTCGACGGGCGCCCAAACAGCCGCGTCGCCCGCGCCGTCCAGACGGCTGCATCCACGGCGAATCGGCTTAATGCGACATGTGTGGTATAACCAGGGTTCCAAACTATCAAGATATTTATTTTCTTTGATAATCATCCGATATATATCTGATCCATGCTGATTCATAGTTTTGTCTCTAATTTTTGACTAAGAATGATGAACTTGATGCGATCGCATCTTAATCGCATCATCATTGATTCTGTGTTGATAAGTGTGGCAACTTCTATATATTTATATAATGAACGCAATTTCAGATTTATGACGAACACGGTCGAGGCGATCCTATGATAGTAGATTGTCTGTATCTCTCAGGCGAGTGTTACGACGTCATGATTGAATTTGCATATGCGAACCCAAATGAAAACGTACTTAACTTCGGGAATGTTAAAGTGAACTCCCCTGAATATAGAGAAATGTTTCTACTAAACCGAGGAAAATATCCAATTTATTACAAGTAAGCAATATATTACTCCAGATGACTTATACTTGAGGATGTGGTTTCTTCACTGTGTAACTACTGTATTGTTTATTCCTTGCTTTAGCTTGCTGTTTTAGAAGTACTAAATAACCCACAAGTATCCCATTTTTTATTTTTTTTATAATAGCAGAAAGTGACGGGACGGACAAGTCGTGCGCCTGGTGGTAAGCGACACGCCTATCCATAACAGTTGCAGTGCCCCTTACAGCTTTAAAGCACAAAAAGAGCTTAGGGACACTGTGACACTGTCACTGCGCCCGTCATCTTGAGACACAAGTTGACAAGTCGCATGTGCCTGTAATTTCACCAATCTTCTGATGCTTTAAGTTTTATAGAAACAGTGTATAGCCCATATCTGTGAAATGGCTTTAACTTTAATATTTACTTAGGCTCAAAAAGGTAAAGAAGTTCCCAGAGCCGGCACTATTGAAGTCCTTCAATGCTTTCGAGGAATGCGGCGTAATACCCCCGACACTGAAATTGGTGGTAGTAGAATTCGGATGCATGCCGACTACTTCTATAAATTTGAACAATGTTCCTGCGTATACGTGCTCTCTACTTGATGGAAGTAAGGAACAGGTTGTTGTAGCCAAGTTTCCAGTGTGTATTACTATCGCCTCCTTCTATAACACGTAAGTTGTCAATTATGAAAACCACTATACACTAGGGTAAAACCGGGATAGATGCCACAGTGGGATAGGTGCCTCGTTTTCAAAAACCTAACTTCCCCAAATCGCAACAAAAAATAAATAGTTTAAACAAGGAGTATAGACACCACTCATCAAAGTTCCTGCAGGGCTTCGTGTGGAATAGATGCGTTTGGCTTGTGCATGCGTTTGTCTCCACGACGAACACGATAAACGGTTCAAAATTTCAGACGCAAGTATTTACTGTCACATAATTTTGTAAGTTATAATAAATTCCGTTTTATTTTTATTATAACTATACACTGGTTCATTAACTGCGCACCTAGGTGTCAATAATCGCTGTTTTGTATATAGCTTAGTTATATAATAAAAGGACATCTATCCATATCGAATAGGATGGACGCCTCGATTTTTCGCGGTATAGGTTAGGGGCAAAGGACAATACAAGAAAGTTAGGAAAAAAAAATACATTATTTTAGTGAAAGACAAGTAAATGATAACAGTTTAAAAGTAAGTAAAAGTACCAAAAAGACAAATTATTCACAGTTTTAAAATGGTTTAACAGCGAACATTTTTGTATAGAATGTTTTGATAGCTACAAAAATACGAAGTGAAGTAGGTAGTAACTTTAAATACGTATATATTTATTATTAAAGATGTAATACGTATATACAATATATTAAAGATTACAAATAAAACATTTTATTATAATAATTTTACTATTTTATTCTAAAGGGCATCATCATCCTTCTTGGTATTTTCATTGTGTGGCGTCTATAGGTAGGCTTCTATCCTCAAAAAAATAGGTTTGCAAAAAGTCAATTTCTTCAAAATCAGTAAATGTTAGAGGAATAAAATCAAGTATTAATGTAATGTAAAAGATTAAACTAGTTATATCCATAGGAATTGTTCATGGTAAACTAATAATTTTTATATTAGAAAGCCCTTTCAAAAAGTGGGGCATCTATCCCGGTTTTACCCTAGCATACGTACACAGCCACTCATCAATGTTTGCAACTGTCAGTTTATAAACTGCAAATTTTGAACGCTATAATATTTATAACGTTAATTCCGCCAATTTTGAAAGGTCAGTGCTTCATGTCCTGCTGGATCCTCGGGTCATCCAATTTGCGGACGATCAGACGTTTGGCGTCGAATACTGTGTTGTTGGGGTTCTTAGCGACATGCCGATCAGTCGCTCTGTCTCCGTGAAAGTTACATATGATGGAGTAGTTCGGTTTCCTTAGTTATTGGCGATGATCTCTACGTTTCCATGTTGCCATACTCCAACACACCAGTAGGTAGTACTTTTCTGCCCGCACCAAATACCTGTACACGCATTGTAATTATTGCTATTATAGTAGCCAAGGCAGTGAAGATATTTTTTGGGTCCTATTACCTCCTATTAGGTGTAGGGATTCCGGAACCGGACAAACCCAGATTTTAGGTTCTAGGTTTCAACGGAACCGGGATTTCCCGGTTCTTTCGATACTTCCGGTACTAGCTAGTTATTGTTCAATAAGTGTACTAGTAAGCAATAGTAGGGGAGCGTCAGGGAATGGGAGCCTACTAAGGAAAATTGACAATAAAAGTCATAATTTATGCAATTTAAATTATTATTAGTTATGAACTTACGCTCCACATATCTGGGTACTAAATAATCACAGAAAAAATATGAAACTAAAATAAAATATTTGGTTAAAACAGAATAAACTAAAACATGTCATTCGCTGTCATTACCCCACTGTTCGGGAAATGAGAGCCGGTAAAAATCCCGTATGTCAAATGGGAGCCATTATATATAATCAGTCTGAAATAATATATAATCAGTCTGAAAAAAAAATTATGTAATAAAATATATAAGTTAAAAAGTAATGAAAATAAACAAGAAAGTGTTAAAGGAATATCCAGTGAATATTGCAATGGGATAAGGAGAGCCAAATAGCTCTCGTTACCCGCGTAACATCGAATTGAAAAGGGAATAAAACGGTAAAAACATGACTATTTTTATTGTGATTTTAAGCATAACTTCTAAAATTTGATAGATATGGTGACATAGCTAGTGTAAATACATCAAATCTATGCATTTTAATGCTTACCTGGGATGATGAAATTTAGCAAATTTTATAAGCGCGGAGCGAAAAACACACAATCATCTCATACGACTAAACGCGGGGCTCTACGGGGGCGCCCAGGGGACTCGAACCTTGTCGAAAGTTAACGAAGACATAGGAGTGCCGTTTGCACAAATACGGGCATTGGGAAAGTCGAGTTTAACACCGCTCTCATTACCCACGGGCTCCCATTACCCCACGTTCCCCTACTCGACGGATTAAGAAAGGGCATCGCGTACTTGGGTTATATTCTCAATGAGAAAGGGGTAGGTTTCAAAAGCAAAAACGGTCAATATTGGAACTTTTTTTCATTTAAAGTAGCGTAGTACAAATCAGTTAACTTAGTTTTTCAGCCTCCTTGTCCTTAGTTAGTTAAAATTAAAATATGAAAAATAACTTGCAATCATAGTAGGTAACTTAAATCTCCTCTAGACAACATAAAATTTAAAACTGTCGTTATTCAAATGATGTATACTAAAAATCACAGTTAATCAGATCTTAAATATTTAAAAAATATTAAATAGTATCATACAGTCAGCCTTTTAGATTTAAATTACTGTTTACATTCTACATACTACATTTAAAATAATTGAAAGTTGAAAAAAAAATTGAAATAAAAAGTTACTAATAACTTAAGAAATACCATAAAATCTTTCTAATGTAGAGGTGCTTTTCCAACGGCGAGGCTAGACAAGGATTGGAATTTGTATGGAAAAAATTTAAATTCTCTTCTAGCGCATCTTCAGTGGAAATGGTCTGGATTGACGAGGACGGGCGAGGCAAGATTTGAAATATTTGTTGATGTAATATTGAACAGTAGTTACCTACGTTATTATTATATAGTATGAAACGGAAACACGATTTCTTGCGCGAGCTCGCAATGGCTATTAATATAAATGGGTCGTTTTCAAATAACCTCAAAAATGTGTCCTTTTCAATAACTTTTGTATTATTACATGATTGCTAAGCATCATTTATTTAATATGATTGCTTGTTTACTTAGTCTGTGTTACACATAAAAAGACTACTTTACTAGGCCACAGTAATAAATGAAAATGGAACAAGTGGGTAATTTCTCATTCATGTAAGCCAGTTCCACGTCACCCTAATTTGAAGTAAATAAGGAAAAAAATTAAACACTTGTGGAAATCGCAATATTTACCATCGAGGATAAACTCTAATAACTTTCACGTCGAATACATACCGTAACTTTACAATTTGTTATAAATAAACATGTTTTTTTAGGGAATACAAAAAGTGTTTAAATTTTTCTTATCATTAGTGTTAATTCACCTAAAAACCTCCTAATAACAAAAGTTCATACCGCATCACCTTCACCCTTCGCACACGTGAGAAGGGGCTCCTGTCAGATCGGACTGTACACAGTGAAGTAACCTGTGCATCTTCAATTTAGTAAAAAGTCGACTTAAATACCAATTTCAGCGCTAGTGACTAAATCGTTCTCATCCATGTAAAGCAATCTATCTAAATAAGTATTAAGCAATAGTCTTATAAACTTTATTGTACATCAATTAGACAAAGGGAACTTTAAAATCCACGCACTTTTATAACGGTCCAGCATATTTTACGCCCTTCACAACTAAAAATATATCCAAGTATCATTCTTGTCGCTCTCATTCTTGTCTACTTTTAAGTTAAATAGTTGCTTTAAGCCAAACATTTACTTGAGATATAATAATTAGATGGTGATAATATTGATGATGATGGTGGTGGTGAAGATGCTGGTGATGATGACGACGATGGTGACTATGTTGATGATGATTGTGATGATGATGATGTGAATGGTAAAATATTAAGTGTTCTTTTGTGAACGATAAAACGTGTGTTGTAATAATAATTTCTCAATATTGTGCCGCCTTTCTCATTTATGTTTATGAGAAAATCATTCGTGTTCTTGCAATCTTTTTTTTTTTTTTTTATATATATAATAGACACACGCTTGGCCACAATCTCACCTGATGTTAAGCGACGATGTGACCGACGATGGGACGCGTTTGCCTAAAAAATGCCTATTCACTCTAGCCTTGAATAGCCCCAAATTGTACTTTTCGGGAAATACAGATGCCGGTAGAGCATTCCATTCCTTTGCCGTACGCATTAGAAAGGAGGAAGCAAAGCGCTTAGTGCGAATAGGTGGAATATCAACGACATAAGAATGGAGTGCTCCGGACCTTCTAGTCGACCGAAGGAGGAACGGTGAGGGCGGAACCAAATTGAAAAGTTCCTGCGCACACTCCCCGAAATGTATCCGATAGAAAACCGACAGGCAGGCTACTTTTCTGCGATGATCGAGATTTTGGAGCTTCGACTCCACAAGAGGATTATTGTTAATAAATCTCTTTGCTTTACGCTCCACCGAGTCCAAGGCAGCTAACTGGTATTGGGCAGAGCCGTCCCAAAGGTGGCAGCAGTACTCCATACAGGATCGAACTTGTGCTTTATATAGATTTAAAAGCTGTTCAGGTGTGAAGTACCGCCTGACCTTGAAAAGTATGCCTAGTTTTCTGGCAGCAGTTTTTGCCAAGCACTCGATGTATCGCCCAAAGTTGAGGTTGGATGATAAGTCCAGACCAAGTAGCTCAAGGTGGTCCCTTATCGGCACGGATACACCTCGGAAAGTCGGAGTAAGGTGTAGGGGACTCCGTTTTGATGAGAAAAGACACGCCTGTGTTGTAGCCGCATTAAACCTGACCCTGTTAGCATCTCCCCAGTCGGAAGCAGCTTTCAGACTCAGGTTCAACCGGGTGACCATCGCCTCTCGCTTACACCGGATCTCTTCACTGTTGTCTCGGGCGTCTGGCACATAACTCACCGCCACTGTGCTGTCGTCTGCGTACCCAAAGATACCGG